TAGCCTCACCGGCGCCGCCTCGGCCGCGCCGGCGACCGCCTCGGCCTCCTCCCACATGCCACCGAGCTGCTCGATCGCCTCCATGCGCACCTCCACGTCGCGGCACGCCATCGCCGCGTCGCGCAAGCCGACCACGTCGCCGAGGCGGCCAAGCGCGCGAGCCGCCGCGCGCCTCACGCACGGCGCGCCGACCACGTCGGCCGCGCCGAGCAGGGAGCGCAGGAGCCCCGTCGCCACGCCCGCGTGCTCCGAGCCGCCGAGGGCGGCCAGCTTCAGCAGGTGCCGCGCGAGGCTGGCCTCGCCAGCGCTCTGCGCGCTCAGCTCGATCCGCGGCTCGTCTCGCTGGCGACTCGAGCAAGCGACGCCTCCGCGCGTATCCCTTGCCGGGGACGGCGCCGGCGCCGACTCGCGAGCGCCGCAGCAGGCCGCTTCTGCAGTAGGCCGCGCGGCGCGAGGGGCGCGCAGCCTGCTCTCGTCAGGCCTATTCCGCGCGGCGTGGCTAGCTTCGGCAGCCGGTCGCGGAGCGCGTGCCTGCGGCAACTGCGAGCGGTGAGGAGAGGCAGACGCGTCCATAAGGGAAGAAGGCTGCTTCGCGGCTGCAGCCGACGGCTCAGCAGCAGCAGACGGCGGCGGCGGCGGCGGCTGTGAGGGCTGCGGCTGTAGCGATGGCGGCTGTGGCGGCTGTGGCGGCTGTGGCGGCGGCGGCGGCTGTGGCGGCGGCGGCGGCGGCGGCGGCGGCGGCGATGGAGACTTCGGCTGTGCTGGCGAAGTCGGTGACGGTGCCGGCGGTGCTTGCCGTGCTGGCGCTGGCGGCGAAGCAGACGTCGGCGGCTTGCGGGTTTCCGTGGCGATTTTGCGTTGCGGCGAGGGCGGCAGCGGTGGTTGCTGTGGCGACGACGAGGGAGCCTCGGCCACAACATCGCCGCGCTGCAGTCGCCTCTCGAAGCGGAGCGCCGTGAGGGAGCCGGCAGCGCGCAGGCGCGACCTGACGTAGGGCGCGTCAAAGGTGTGGGGCAGCGCGCCACCGTTGCTCTTCATGCAGCGGACAAAGTGGGTCTGCGTCGAGCGGAGGCGCGCCATCAGCTCCTTGAGGTTGGCGGCAAAGCGGCCGCCCACCGAGGAGAAAGTGCCTGCCACCGCCTTGTCCTCCTCGAAGAGCTCCGTGACGAGCGGCTCGGTCGACGCGCGGAGCCAGTGCGACCCGCCGACCAGCGTGTCGTTGTTCGACTCGAGGAAGCCGCCGCTCGTGTACAGCACATCCGCCGCAAAGTGGCGGACAATAAAGGCGCTCGAGGCGTCGTGCGAGCAGTCCCTCGAGAGCTTTGGCACTGTGAAGAAGGGGTCCTCCTCGTGCTTTTGAGTGGCGGAGAGGCAGAAGGCCGTCTCCGAGCCCTGCGGCGCCCTGCACTGATGGTCGAGGATGTGCAGCAGCCCCTTTGGAGGCGCGTCGATCAGCGCGACGCAACAACGGTTGTCAATGCGCGAGGCGTCGCCGAGGACAGAGGCGAGGGCCTCGTCGGAGAAGCCGCGGAAGACGTGGCGGAGGAAGAGGTGGTGCAGCGCCTCGTTCGCATAGTTGATGAGCAGCTGCTCGAGCGAGTTGGTCTCCAAGCTCTCAAACCCAAAGATGTCGAGGAGCCCGATGTACTGCCCACCATTCGCAGGCCCGTCGGGTCGGAGGAGCGCGTTGAGCTCTGCGACGAGCCGTGAGAAGAGCCCCGCGTAGAGTGCCTTCGCGAGAGCGTCACGCGCGCGGAGTGCCCCCGTGCGCTGCAGCGGCACCGTCAGCTCCTCTCGGCCCGCAGACATGAAGCGACACGTCAGCCTCTCCCGCAGCGTGTCGTCGCTGAGGCCGAGCAGCTCCGCTGCCGCTGCCAGCGCCGGTGCGTCCGCCGCGCTGACCGCCGCCGGCTCGTCGTCGTCGGCGTCGTCCGCTATCGCCGACTGGTCGCCTGCTCCCGTCGACTGGTCGTCGCCGCCGCCTCGAAAGCGAATGTCGCCCAAGTGCAAGATGGCCGCCACCACTCGCCAGACAGAGACGGCCCTCACGCCTCGGAGTTGCGAGAGCGCGTCCTCGAGCGCGTCGAAACGGCGCTCGATTCGCGTCGGAGCGTCCGGAGGCGCCGCCGCCTCGCGCTGCTTGTCGCTGCTGCTCACCAGAGTGTAGAAGTGCTCCTTTGCCGCCCGCAGCCGCAGCGCGGCTCGCTTGTGCTTGGCAGCGCCGGCGCAGAGCATGTAGAGCCCGTGAAAGTTGCGCTCGCCGGTGGCTCGCCTAACGAGGCGCGTGGTCTCGAGAAGGTACGTCGAGAAGGAGCCTCCGGCGAGCGCGTTGCTCGCGACATCGACGGCGAGGTACTTGCCGAACCGGGACGAATTGTGGTTGTTCACCGTCGAGGCGTTGCCAAAGCTCTCGAGCAGGACGTCCGACAGGGCGAGCACGCGGGAGATGGCGGCCGCGCCGTCGCCGCCCCCCGTCGAGCGCCAACGAAAGTACGAGAGGAGCTGCCGGTTGCTCTCCGTCTTGCCCGAGCCGGACTCGCCGCTCACAACGACGCTGCGGCTCTCCGTGCCGGCCGACGCTCCCTCGGCCTCGGCCTCGCTGACCGCGCGCCAGATCTCCTCGGCGACCCCAAAGATGTGCGGCTCCTCGGACTGCTGCGCCTCGTCCGGCGCACTCTCGACCGGCGCTCCTCTCGCGCGGCGGTAGCGCTCCATCTGATCCTCGTCATAGGAGCAGAGCGGCGCGTAAGGGTTGAGAGCGAGGAGCTCGAGCGCTCCAGTCTGCGTGTAGATGTGCCGCGCCTCGAACCTCCGCTGGACATTCCCCAAGAGGTTCGCCTCGTTCAGGTGCTGCAGGCGCAGATTGTTTGCGCTCGAGGAGCGGTCGCGCAGCCACACGCAGGGGCGCGGCACTTCCGCCTCGCCGCCTCCAGACGACACGGTGAAGACCTCGCCCGACCGGCCGACGACCGTGCATGCGACGAAGGGATCGGCGAGGTCTGCGCCGAGCAGCGAAACCGCGTCGGGCACCATCCCAAGCTCAACCCAAACCAAGGCACCCTCGTCGAGCGCCAGCTCGACCTCCATCTCCTCGGCCGTCTTGGTCTTTCGGTGCACGAGCACTCCAGCAGAAGCGTCCACACCGCCATCCGCCACCGCCTGGATTCCGGCGGCGACTGCGAGCTGCGAGTAGTGTGGCTTGCAGTACAGACGTCCAGTCTTGGCATCTTGGCAATACGTGCTCTGCTGGAGCTGGCGGGCGCATTTGGTGCACCTGAAGCACGAGAAGTGGAAGCGGCCGAGTCCCGTCGTCATGAGCTCCGCCGGGTAGACCGTCTGCTTGCACAAGGAGCAAGGCTCGCCGCCACCGCCGAGCACCATAGCCACCACGCTCGGGAGCTCATGCGCGACAAGCGCGCTGTGACCGTCGAGTTGAGCGCGTAGATTTTTACTTTTTTCGCTTTTTCTTCCGAATCAGAAAAGAGTGGGTTAGTTTGCTCAGCTCGCGGAGCTTTGCGCGAGCAAGCGACACAAACTCGCGAAGGCCTGGCGCACGGTCGTCGTCCGGGCCCGCCTTGGCCTGCACAAGCTTTTCCGGCAAACAAAAAGGAAAACAGAGGGTCCCCAGCACTTTGCGTTTCCGGAAATTTCCAGGGAAAACAGAGGGTGTTTGGTGCTCCATTCTGGAAACTCGCGAGTTTCCCTGAGTCTGAGAGCTGGTCTGGGGCAAAATCTGACGCAAAATTGAGGAAATCGGCACGATACCCAGGCGGTCGCAGGATATTTTCCAGGTATACCCGGGGTTTTCCAGGTATACCCGCAAAATACCCGGTATTTTGCCGATTTGGCTGATTTTGGGCCCAAACCAGCCTCAGACTCGGCTCAGAGCCCGGAAAATTTGATGGTTTCCCCGGGAAAATAGAGAGGAAAAGAGAGGGTGCTGCAGAGAAAAAAGGAAAGGAAAAGAGACGGGGTGCGAGAGGAAAACCTTGTTCAGCAAAGGCCCGCCAGTCCAAACACGGCGAGCGGGTTGCCGCCCTTAGTCTTCTCCTTGATGGTCGCCTCAAACGCGTCAACCGTGTTGATCACGCAGCCAATGCACCGATAGGCTTTTTGCTTGTCCGCGCAAGACGTACACTCAAACCACACGGAGGACTCGCCGTGTGCAGGACAGGGATGCCGGGCCTCGTTGTTGTTGATACCGTGCACCTTGTAGCCCTCTCGCGTGGGCACGTTCGCGCACTTCTTGACATGCAACATGCTGGTATCGTTGGGCTCGCGCATCGCAGCTTCCCGCGCTGCCTCCGGCGGGCGCTACGAAAAAACCTCTCGACTCCTCTCCGCCGGCAAACCCCGGAAAGTGCGGCAAAAATAAGCGCCTGCACGTGTAGGCGCGCATCTTAGCCAAGGCTCGCGCCAGCACGTGTAGGTGCTTGTGTCAGATACGCGCCCACACGTGCAGGTGCGAGCCCTAGCTAACATGAGCGCCTCCACGTGCAGATGCGCATTTGGCGAGCTCGAATATAAGCGTCTACTCGTGCAGGCGCTCGTTTTAGCTAAGAAACGCGCCTACACGTGTGGCCGCATACATTGGCTTGAGGTGATATACGCACTTGGTGTGTGATCGATACATTTTTTAACACCTTAGGTCTCAGGAGAGCTGGAGAGGGCCGCAGAGGTTGTATTCGAGTGGAAGGCTGAGGTGGGAGGTCAGGTAGGGGTCTGGGCGGCCTACACGTGTGCAGTCCTTTTTGGGTTGACAGTTGCTCAGTGCATGACTTGCCCGGGAGGGGGGGGGGGGGGTCGAGGAGACAATATAGTTATACGCGCGGCCACACGTGTAGGCGCGTATCTTAGCTAAAACGAGCGCCAGCACGAGTAGACGCTTATATTCGAGCTCGCCAAATGCGCATCTGCACGTGAAGGCGCTCATGTTAGCTAGGGCTCGCACCTGCACGTGTGGGCGCGTATCTGACACAAGCAGCTACGCGTGTAGGCGCGAGCCTTGGCTAAGATGCGCGCCTACACGTGCAGGCGCTTATTTTTGCCGCACTTTCCGGGGTTTGCCCTCTCCGCCCCAAACGGACGTTCGCGCTTTTAGCGCACGTTTGAGCGGTCGCGGGAGCCGGTAGCACCCTCAGTCGCTTCTGTGCTGTTGTGCTGCCCAGTGCTGCTATCGCGTCCGTCGCCGCCGCTGCGTGCAGTGCCAGTGGCGCGACCGGGCCCGCTCGGCGACACGAGACGGCTCGATCGCTCACGCCGCTCGATGCAGCCGACACGACCGGCTTCCTCTCTCCCGCCAATTGGCCTTTGGTGCAAGAGAAAGGACGTGGCGCGCGCATTGCCTCGGACCTCGGCATGCCGCTTGGTCGCGTGGTCTCAGCCTCATCGCCTCAGGCCTCGGCCGCTCAGCCGCCTGGTCCACAGACAGGTTGGAGATTTTGGTTGTCATGTATATGTACCCGAACGAAGGTGGACCACTTTTGTTCTCTTCTCATGAAATCGGAGGGTCGGTCCACACGCCACACGGGGACTTCGTGAAAAAAGCGACCCAACGATTTCATGAGTGGCAGCAAAGGGAGTGGATTGAGAGCAGCCATGCAGCCTCGCTCTCAATCCAGCGGACGGACCACGGAGCTGCTCTTGCTTAGTCCTAGAAGATGTAGGATTGCGAGCGTAGGTAGGTGCGATCGCACAGAGATGCTACGATTGCGAGGACTCGAGTGCTGCTCACAATCCGTCGATTTCTAGGATTGAGAGCGAGGCTGCTCTCAATCCTATTAGCCGTCTATCTACACAAACAAAACTCAAGCCGCCTGACTGACTGGCACTACAGTAACTAACACTCAATCAACCCACTCTGACAGCGCAGCAGAATGCCATGGACTGGCACCACAAATAGCATATCCCGGAAGCCGCGTCCCGTACGTATTTCTTTCTAGACGGTGTACCTGGTCTCTGTGTTAGTGCCAGTGCGCGCCAGTCCCGTACCCGGTGTCGTGCGAGAGAATAAATAAATAAATAGAGCAGTCATCTCCAGGAGAGATGGGCGACGCACAAACACAGAGGCACAGTGCGCACCCCGCCCCGCTCACAGGGCGTGCATTATCACACAGGCGTGGACTGTGTGACTCCTCGGGTTTCTGGGACAGAGGTGTGCTAGTCGCTACAGTCGGACGGCTCCGGCACGTCTGATAGGCAGTTCGGGCTCGAGTGAGGGCCGCGGTCGCGGTCGCGGCCAGCGCGCGGGGCCTGGCTGTGGGGCTGCCGGGAGTGATCTCGATCCACGCGCCGGAGCGCGCGTGGTGCTTGAGCAGCCGGGCGGTCTCTGCAGCCACCTCGATCGGCAGCTCGTCGAGCCACTCGGCAAAGGTTCCCTCCTCTTGCGCCGCAGCAAGAAATCGTTCGCGTAGGCCGTATGCGCGGCACAAGCCCGGAAGAGCGCCTCATACATACGTGATCTCGTCCGGCGTCTCCGTCCGTACTCCGAGCGAGTCGTACGTAGCCGGAGACGGAGGAGCCGGCAGAAGAGGCCCGCTTCGCAGGCGGCGCGTCAGGCGACGAGGAGCGCGAACGCCGCGGCGGCACACCGTGCGAGAGACCTATGTAAAATTCTTTCTAGAATTTCGTTGTAAACTCCTTTCGCACTTTGTTGCGGTAAAAACACACCGATTCCCTCGCTGAGCTTGACCCCTCCCCCAGGCAGTGTGGACCGCTTCCAATGCCGTCAACCACCGTGCTCGCGGTGGTTCTGTACTGTGTCTGCTCCTCGTCGATGCTCATCATCAACAAACTCGCGGTTGGGCACATTGGCGCCCCCGCGTTTGTCACATTCATGCAGTTTCTCGTGACGGCCGTCGTTGTCAAGGTGGCGCACTTGTGTGGCCTCCTCCAGGTGGACGCCTTTGATTGCACCAAGCTGCTGCACTTTTCCATCTATGTCGTCGGCTTCTCAGCCGGCACGTGGACAAACATGAAGGTGCTGATGACGGCCAACGTGGAGACGGTCATTGTGTTCCGCACCATCGCGCCGCTGGCCGTCGCCTTCTTCGACTACATCTTCCACGGGCGGGACCTGCCCTCGTGCCGCTCGTGCCTCGCGATGGGCATCATCGTGGCGGGCGCCCTCTCATACGTCCTCAACGACAAGTCATTCGCGATGAGCGGCCTGCGCGCGTACGCCTGGGTGGCGGTGTGGCTGGCCTTCCTCGTCTTCAACCTCACCTACGGCAAGTACCTCATGTCGGGCCTCGGCGTCTCGAGCTGGACGGCGGTGCTGTACAACAACTCGCTCTCCATGGTGCCCACCCTTGTCTTTGGCCTGCTCGGTGGCGAGATGACGAAGCTGCAGGCTATTGAGTGGACGCCGATCGGCGTCGGGTGGCTGGCCGCCTCGTGCGTTGTGGGGCTTGGCATCTCGTACGCAGGCTTCAAGTGCCAGTCGCTAATCTCGGCCACGAGCTACACCGTGATTGGCGTGCTGAACAAGATGTTTACGGTCCTCGTCAACACGCTGATGTGGGACAACCACGCCTCCGCGGCCGGCATTGCGTCGCTCGCCGCATGCCTGGCGGGCGGAGCGCTGTACCAGCAGGCGCCTCTCCGGGAGGACCAGGAGCCTAAGAGCCCCGGCCTCGGGAGGAACAGCTTGCTGAGCCCAGCACCGTGGGGCGCCAAGAAGCCCCTCATCGTCTGCATGGCCATCGTCATGATGGGAATGGGCGGCTACGTGCTACTCGCTTCCGCGCCTGCGGTCGCTCCGCCGTCGCCCTCTCCCCTCGATCTGCCGTCGGTCGTGCCGAGTGGGCGGCGCGGCGGCTTGCCGGGTGCGGGGCGGATGCACCAGAGTGGTCGCATGCACAATCACACCTACTACAGAAGCGCACACAGCGCCAAGTTTGGCGCAAAGGCCTCCGGTGAGGCCGCCACCGGCGTAAAGGCGGAGGGCAAGGCCAGGGGCATGCCGGCAGAGGGCAAGGGCAAGACTTCCGCGAGCAGAGCAAGCAAAGTGCACGCGCGAAAGGCACCGGGTGGCTTGGTGAGGTGAACGTAGCCGCGGGGATGCGCGAGGGCAACACCAACCTTGCGGGGAGCGCCCGCGCAGATGTGAGCGACGAGCTCGCTGATGGAGTTGGTCGGTGTGCACGTGCCCTGAGTTGACCACCGACACGCGACATGAGGCACCAGGGCCCAAAAGGCCAAGACAGGACAGAACGACATTTAGTTTGCTGCGTGTGTCGCATCTCTGCCATGTGTCAACTGTGCTCCGGCTGCCGTTTTTTCTGTACATATATAGGAATCCTATATTCTGATTTCTCCACTACTCCGAGTTCGACACTCCGTCCGCGGCGCCGTTCCGACCCGGGATTTTCGTTGCACACGACTTAGACCGGTTATAGCTATAATAGGCGGGGGCGCCGCTGCGCTATAACGGTTTATACTATAAGCGGTTGCGGCCCAAGTTTCGCGCGTTACGCCCCGCGCACGCGCGGGGGGAGCTAGACGTACACGTAGCTGCCTCCGAGAGGCGAGAGCTAGGGCGAGAGAGGCCGGGCCAGCGAGCTGCGAGGCTGGCGGCGGTACGGGGGGTGAAAGGATTGTTTTTTATCTTTTTTGTATAGCTTTTTTTTACACTGTCACTGTGATGAACAGCAAACCGACAGGCGGAGAGGGGAGACCGTCTGAGCCGGGCCTTGCGGGGCCAGTGGGCACACTGCAGCGCGATTACTACGCCTTCTCTCCAGCGCGCGCCCGTGCACATGGTGGGGCGCGCACCGGCCACCGCGCGCTGTAGCAATACGACCACCTCTCTCTCCACTCAACACATCGCGTGCTCGCCATGTACGACCCCGCGCGTGCGCGCGCGTGCGGCACCTACACCCCCGCGGCAGGCTGCTGAGAACGGCCATCATCAATGCGCACTAGACGCGCTTCCGTACGTCTCGAGGAGCCATGCTCCACTAGGCAGCTTTGGCCGAGGTTGGCGTCCCCTCGACGTCTGAGGCATCCCGCGAGCCGTTCGGGTCTTCAGTGGTCAGCGTCTCCTCCGCGCGCCGTGGCGTCTCCTCGCCTTCGGCCTGCTCCTCCTCGCTCGCGCGGCTCGTGGCGGTAGTCCTCCTCGCCATGTCCGCGGCGCTCTTTGCGCAGGCGAGCTCTAGCATCAACATCTCCTCGGCGAGCGCCAGCGTCTTGGCCTCTCCTCGCTCGACAGCGGCGCGCGCGGCGAGCTTGATCACGTCGGGAGACTCCTCGCTCTCGGACGCAAAGCTGAAGTTGCTGGAGGCGAGCGAGGCGAGCGATGTGACCGAGCACGGAGTCGTGGACGCTACGCTGGGGCGTCGCTCACGCGGCGAGGTCAAGGTGGCCGAGGCGCTCTTCTCCACGGAGACGTTGACCGACCCCAAAGAGTTGGTGACATCTTGCAGCTCACTCGTCGTCGTCGTCGTCGCCATGCCTGAGAGGAGGATGGCCTTTCAAAAATTGAAGAATTTCTGCGAGCGTTCACTGCGAACGCGCACCCCCAGGGCTAGGGCTTTCTTGCCCGCAACCCGATGCCAATCATCCGGCCCGCTGGGTGCGCTTCTTAGCTCCCCGGCCCTGGATGTGCGGTTGCTGACTGCACTCCAAGTGCTCCAAGTGCTCACACCGCCACCACCGCCGACCGACGTCTCCTGGCGAGATGATGGACTGAGGGGGGACGACACTGCTTCTGCAGTGTGCACCTCGATCCTGTACCGTGTTTGTTATGACCCCCCCCATGAACACACCAGTGAGGGAGGGCGAGACGATCGAGGGGTCCCGTACCACGCGGAATCGACCCTATCCAGTGCTCAAGTGCTCAAGAAGAGAGAGTGGACCTGAGCAACGATATGACCTGGCGGCAAATGATCGGAGTGGGCGTCAGAAGAGTCGTCCTTGCGCGAGGAGAGCTCGATAAACTCGAGGGGCCAAAATATGCCGCGAGGAGGGCAGAGCTGCGACGAAAGGCGAGAGAAGAAGCGAGAGCAAGGGATCGGCAGGCGGCGGCGGCGTCGCAGGACGAGGCAGAGGAGAGCGACGCGACAGAGGAAGAAGCGACAAGAGAGAGAACGACGAGAGTGGGACGACCGCGAGGTGGCATGAAGGTTGCAGCGAGAATCGGCGAGGGACTGCGAAGAGAGATAGGTAGGGGCAGACGCCCAAGGGTGGGCGACGGCTAGCACCACCACACTCCTCTCCTTAAAATCCCTGTGTGGTGGCGGCGCGTGCCGTCCTCCCATCCCTCCCTTGGGTTGTCTGTTTTCTTTCTTTCTTTTACGACAAGGGGCGGACGTGCGTGACACTAGCACAATGGTAAAACCAAGCTGCCTGTTTGTGAGCTCTCGCGAAACACCAAAAAAAAAAATTTTTTTCCCTCCCTCCCTCCCTCCTTCCCTCCCTCCCTCCCTCCCTCCCTCCCTCCCTCCCTCCCTCCCTCCCTTTCCCTCCCTCCCTCCCTCCCTCCCTCCCTCCCTTTCCCCCCCCCCCCCCCTCTCTCTCTCTCTCTCTCTCTCTCTCTCTCTCTGTGTGTGTGTGCGCGCGCGCGCGTGTGTGCGTGTGCGTGCGTGCGTGCGTGCGTGCGTGTGTGTGTGTGTGTGTGTGTGTGTGTGTGTGTGTGTGTGTGTGTGTGTGTGTGTGTGTGTGTGTGTGTGTGTGTGTGTGTGTGTGTGTGTGTGTGTGTGTGTGTGTGTGTGTTGTTTGTGCCAGCCCTGCCCCGCCGCTACGAACTATCTGTCGATGGCGCTTCCATGGCGGTGGCGCTTTTTCCGCTCGTACCTTGGCCACCAAGCGGAGCGCGCGAGCACGCGGCCTCACGCGGCGCGATGTGCGGCCGGCGCGGCGGGCACGCCCTTAATGTTGCGTTGTAGGGGGCGCTTCCTCATTCCCAAGGCGCTTGGCGAGACGTCGGTGTGCTGCAGCTCCCCGACAAATAACGATCAGCCCCTCCGACGCGCTCGTACACCTAGATCGCGGTTCGTCCCACGCCGGATGTAGAGCTCTACAGCTCTACAGCGCTCCAGAGCGCTCTACATCTCTACAGCTCTACAGCGCTCTACACGCTACATATACCCTCCCTCAGGACAGTCAGAAGATAGACAGACGCTGCCGCACCAACCAAGAAAGAAATCTGCGTTGTTGAGCCAGGACTCAACATACTCGTTCTGTTGCCGTCCCAAACTGTCACTCCCCTCTCTCCCGGCCGGGGTGGGGCGCGCGCGGGGGCGGCGGGTGTGCGGCGAGTGTGCGGGATGTCTGTGGGCCCGAGAGCGATATGCCATGTCCGCCTTGCGTTGTTTCATAACATCGAAAGGCTAAGCTCAAAAAGAAAGAAAGAAGCAACCAAGAAAAGCAATCCGAGTTTCACGGTGCTGTCGAGTATGTCCGACGCCCTCGTCTGGCCCGAGCAGGGGCGAACGAAGGGGATCCGCACCTGCTTTCGGTCTTCGGGACTCAATGCGAGAGCTTTTCCGAGAAGAGACACAATGAAAAAAGAATTTTACAACAAACGCAAACCCTGTCAGCAGTTCACCTACGGGTATGTTCGTAAGAGCCACATACACTGACAAAACTCCCTCGCCAGTCCCGTGTTGTGTGAAAAAAGAATTCAAGTCGTTCACCCGCTGTGTGGACTGGACGGGCGAAAAAGATTCACATTTTACAAAATTCTCTCTCTCTCCTCGCACGACACGGGCACCGTGCGGCAGAGTTTTCTTCAAGGTCTGTGAACATTCAGTCGTTCTTCATGTCGTCTGTGAGGTCATCCAGCTCCGCGCTACTGCTCAGCCTCGCGCTGCCGTTCGCGGCGGGTTTCTCCGCCACCGCGAGGCCGCAGCTGACGCGCGGCGCTCTGGCCAGCGGCTTGAGCCACGCCGCGCCGGCGCAGCTGGGACGCACGGGCGGCGCGTCGATGCTCGCAGACGGCTTCGCCTCGCTGCTGGCGGATGCTGCCATCCTGCTGCCTGACGACGCTGCCGCCTCGGCTGGCGCCGCAGCCGCCGAGGCCGCGCAGGAGGGCTGGTTCGACCTGTGAGCTGCCACCCGACGCGATACGTCCAACTCCCTTCCGGCGGTTTCCCACCGCCTCTGTCTGCGCGCGCAGGATCGTCATCCGGCCCTTTGAGTATGCGATCGAGCAGCTGGCTAGCGTCGCCGGCTACGGCCCCGCCATCATCATCTTCACGCTCGGTGCGCGCTCCCCGCGCGCACGTTTCCCGCCGGCGTGCAGCCCGCTCAGTCCCCGCGCTCGTCTCCCGCCACGCGGCCGCAGGCATCAAGCTGCTGCTGTTTCCGCTGACCAAGCAGCAGATCGAGTCGACGCAGAAGATGCAGGCCATCGGGCCGGCGGCCAAGGCGCTGCAGGAGAAGTACCGCGACCGCGACCCCGCCCGCCTCAACGTCGAGCTGCAGAAGCTCTACCAGGACAATGAGGTGAACCCGCTCGCCGGCTGCCTGCCCGCCTTCGCGCAGATCCCGCTCTTCATCGGGTTGTACCGCTCCCTGCTGCTCCTCGCCAAGGAGGACAAGCTGGAGCAGCCCTTCCTCTGGCTGCCCTCGCTTGAGGGACCTGTCGCCGACTACCAGCAGGGCATCGGCTGGCTCACGGAGTGGGTCAACGGCGCCCCGAAGTTTGGGTGGGCAGACACGGCCGCCTACCTCGTGCTGCCTGTGCTGCTCGTGCTCTCGCAGTACGCGTCGATGGAGCTGCTCACGCCCAAGTCGGACGACCCGGCCCAGGCGCAGTCGCAGGCCATCCTCAAGTTTTTGCCCCTGATGATCGGCTGGTTCTCGCTCAACGTCCCGTCGGGGCTCGGTGCGCGCCTCGCCCTCGCGCGCGCACGCACACGCCCGCCGACCTACGCTGCCCCAGCCGCCCCAACGCCGCGGACCCCGACCGCCCGCGCCGCGCAGGCCTCTACTGGCTCACCAACAACATCGTCACCACCGCCTCGACTCTCGCCATCCGCGCGATGGCGCCAAAGGTGGAGATCAAGGTGGCGGGCGGCAGCGGCGGCGCGGCGGCGACGATGGAGCCGACCGCGACCAAGGGCTTTGGCGGCCGGCGCTTTGGCGAGGTGATCGAGAGCGAGGGGGAGGGCGGAGCCAAGATCAAGATCAAGCCGCCCGGGGCGGCTGCTGTGGTCGAGGCGACGGTCGCAGAGTCTGTGACCGAGGCGACGGCGGTCGAGGCGACTCCCGTCGTGGACGCTGCTGTGTCGGAGGCGCCGAGGAAGACGACCAAGAAGAAGAAGAAGAAGAAGCGCAACTGATGTGCGGGATGGCACACGGCGGGCGTCGCCACCCCTACCTCGGCGACCGCAGCTCACACCTCCGTATCGGGACACGGCAGCAGGCCTCTCCGCGCGCCGCAGTGTACGTGTGCAGCGAAGGTGTGCGGTCCCTGTCGGGCTGCGCGCGCTCTCTCTCTGCTGCTGGGCCGGCGGGTGGGAGTTTGACGGGAGTGCTGGCATGTTCTCCATGACGTGGGGTGTCGGCGGCGGCACATGAGCACACGCTCGTCGTGTACGGGCGCGGTCTGTGGGCGCCCAGGGCGCCATATCCTTCTAGCAGCTTGACGATAGACATCGGACTGACTCACCCCTCCAGTCCGGCGGTACAAGAATCGCCGCGTGAGCGCTACGCAGCGCGTACAGCCATACAGCCGCGGGCGCTGGAGCGTGGTCCGTGGAGAGGTCTCGCTGGTCGGGGGCGGCGCGGCCGCCGCGAGACACGGCGCGTGTCGAGCCCTGTGCGCCGCCGCTACGGCTAGAGGAGCGTGCTATGCGCGGTCCTTCCTTCACCATGATCTACTATTGCTATGCCGCCGGCTACATCGTCGCGATGTCGGCGCTCCCCGCACTGCACCAAGGCTGGAGCCGGCCGACTGCAGTGGCACCACTCACAGCCTGCGGATGGGAAGCGGTTTAGAGGGGAGACTAGTGCGGGGGCGGGCGGGCTAGCGCGCCTGGATGATGCGCGCCGCCTCTGCGACCTGCGCATCCTCCACCTGCCTCTCGACCCAGCGCTCAGCAACAGGACCCCTCAGCCATCCGCGACGCACGAGGAGGTCGATGGAATTGCGCACCTGTGAGCGGAGGGGCGGTTTGTGCTGAGAAGCAATGCGACGTGCTGGATGATAGGTCGGCGCGCACCTCGAAGCACGAGGTCAGCCTGCTCCCCATCGGCTTGCCAGTCACAGGGGAGCACAGGCGGGGGGGCGCCAAGAATTGGGCCTCGTAGATCCAACCGTGGATGGCTCTCCGCTCGTAGACGTTGCCGTCCTCGGCCCGCACTGGGTCGACGGGAAGCATGTTGGTGAGCGGGCACAGCCATAGGTTGCGCATTAGCGAGTTCCGGAGCGTCGCGAGCGCCTCCGATCCGAGCTCCATGAGATTCTGCCGCGAGGGGACAAACTTCCATCTTCTATTCCCCTGCAGGAACGCCTCGTGCATGGGAAAAACTTGGTAAACTCCTCTTCGGCGCTCACGTTCGCAAAATTCTCCACAAACTCACGCGACTTTCTGCCGACCTTCGGGAATCTCGGCGTCGATGCCGTCCATCCCCGGAGCGGGAAATGTAGGGGCGAAATTTTTGCATCAATCAGAGATCTCTCTCTCTCTCTCTCTCTCTTGAGCACTTGAGCACTTGATAGGGTCGATTCCGCATGGTACGGGACCCCTCGATCGTCTCGCCCACCCTCACTGGTGTGTTCATTGGGGGGGTCATAACTAGGGTGGCGGCTGAGTGACGACGCGTGCCGTGAGAGATTTTGAGCAATACCTTTATGTGATGTTACAGGTGGGTTAAGAGGGAGATGTGCGCGAGCTGCGGGACCGCCGGGACGGCGGGCGGGTGATTGCGAGTCGCCGCCACTTTTGGCGACTTTTGGGACGCGCGTCAATACCAAACAACTCTAACACTCACGTGTTGCGGGTGCAGCGGCCGCCGGCGCACATAACAAACACGGTACAGGATCGAGGTGCACGCTGCAGAAGCAGTGTCGTCCCCCCTCTCCCCGACGGCGATGGCGGTGTGACCGATCGAGCTACAAGAGGAGCTTGTTCAGCAGGATCCGGGATAGTCAGATGCACTACCTCACTGGGCCTGAGACCACCGCACGACGCCTCCCGTCACCGTCTCGGATTTGTCTGGAGTCGAACCACTCCGGGATGGGCAAGCCCATCAATTTTCATTTTGTTCCTCCCCCGGACCTGCAGGGGATAGCGGGAGAAGTATGGGTGGTGCTAGGTCGGGGGGAAGATGATAGGGAGGGGGGGGGGGGGGGCGGTTTAGGTTGGGTGCCGGTGCCGGGGGGGGGGGGGGGCCCCTCAAAGGGGATGACTGCCGCCCTACCCCCCGGGAGACTTTTTACCCCCCCCCCCCCCCAGGCGCGCTCCGCTCGGTGTGCCGCCCCCCTCCGCCCGCCCCTCCCGGTCCCCCATTCTCCCCAAACACGCCCCCCTCTCCCCCCCCCTCCACCCCCACCGCCTCCTCCTCAGTCGGATCCCTCCCCCTCTTCCTCCCCCGCTCCCCACCGCCCCCCTCCCCCTCCTCGCCCCCGCCCCCCCCTTCACCACCCCCCCCCTCCCCGTCCCGCGCCCCGAGCCCGGGCGCCTCCTCCCCGCACCCCGCACACAGCACCCCCCCATTCGCGGAGAGCACCCCGCTCTCCTCGTGCAGCCTCGGGCTGTCCCGTCCATATAGGCGGGCCGCCGTCTCCACCTCTCTTCAATCAGAAACACGCCGCGACAATCGGAGAGAGGGCGACGCTGCTCGCTGGACACTGAACACACATGTCCGTTTGCCCCCCACTAATTCTAATACTTTTACTTAGAAGTGGGCACTAAGCCCCGAAGGCCGAAGGGCGAAGCCGAAGGCGAAGCCGAAGTCTTGCTCTTGGTTGTCAGGTCTTGCGTCTTGGCCCCGAAGGCGAAGCCCGAGACGGGCGCGACAACGACAAGGCTTAGGCAGAAGCCCAGCCCCACGGCGCGAAGGCATTTTTTGAATTTTTCCCACCGGACTCCGCTCTCCGGACGATCCTCGATCGTCATCCGATATCGATACTCGTCACACATCGAATTTCTTCGTTTTTTACGGGCGCAAGAGTGGCAAGAACCAGGATGAGTTACCGTGTAAGAGCGCGGCAATATCGTCCACGGGAGGACGCGCTGGGGCGTGGGGGGGAGGGGGGGGGGGGCAACGGCCTCACGGACGACGGACACACGTCTACGTCGGTTCCCAGACAGCAGATACACTTCTCACTTGTCACTTCGACTTCGGGCGCTCTCACACGCATGCGCTGTCCCTACGATAATAAGTGCGTGTTGCCGACTCATGACCACGGGCGTGCGCGGGGGGGCGCGCGGCTCCCAGGCACACAATATTATCACACGCAACCGCTCTTGGCGAGCGCGGGAGGCGTGCGCGGAGACCGTCGTCGGAGGCACGTCAGAGGACGAAGCCGCTCGGCCGAGAGGCGCAGCCCGGCCCGACTGCGCTCACGGGGCGGCGGGCGGCGCCTCCACCACGGCTGGCGGCTCGCCGGGCGCCTCTCCTCCGCCTCCGGCGAAGTGAGCGAAGGCGGCGGCGACCAGGGCGGCGAGGAGCGCGAGCAGCAGCAGCAGCCGGTCGGCGGAGAGCGTCGGAGGCACGAGCCTCTCCTTTGGCAGCCGCGTCACCTTGACCTCGTTTGTCGAGCAAGAGATGGCGGCGTACCCGCCCGCCGCGTCGCGCTCGGTCAGCACCAGCACGGCGACGTACATCGGGTGCTCCTGCAGCCGCACCAGCCGCGCGAGGGAAGAGGCCTGCAGCACATGCAGCTCGCCCTCGTTGGTGCCCGCTGCGAGCAGGGCGCCGTCGGCCGACAGCGCCAACGCGGTCAGCCGGTTGGGCGTCACCTTTGCCCACCGCTCCACCCGGGCGCCGCTGCCGCCGCGCGGCACCGCCGCGCGCAGCACGTGCCCGACGCCCGCGGCGTGGTTGAGAGCGCCAAACAGCGACGCGCCGCTCGAACTGCCCTCCGCCATCAGCACGCACCGCCACGCCGCCGTCTTGGGGAGCGGCTTGCCGCGCCGCTTGGGCGCCGGCGTCACGAAGTTGTGCCACCGAAACGCGGGCTGAGCCACCTACTCGCACACCCGCGGGGCCGTCGGGGCGACGCGGGGCGCGGCCGTGCGGCCAGACGCGAGCGCGCGGCGGCCTCGGACGGCTCGCCCCCCTCTGCCGGCCAGAGCAGGCAGAGCGCGTCGTCGGCGGCCGAGGCGACGACGGCTCCGTCGGGCGAGAAGGCGAGCGACTTGAGGTCGCGCGCGTGCCGCTTCTCCTTCCACCTACTCACGGCGCCGCCGCGGCTGACGAGGTTGCCGCCACCCCCGTCGCGCGCGGCTCCTGCCCGTCCGCCTCTGCCGCCACTCGCCCTGCGCGGCCGCCTCCATCATCACCAGCGAGCCGTCGTCGATGCCGACCGCGATGCGAGTGCCGTCGGGGGAGAGCGCGAGCGAGTACACCTCCGGCAGGCGCGGCTTGCGGATCCCGTCCGCCTCCGGGTCCGGGTCCGGCCCGCGCAGCACCATCGCCGGGCTCGCGTACAGCGGCGGCGGAGGCGGCCGCTTCTTGTCCACCGTCGCCACCGACTCCCACGTGGGCGGCTCGGCCGGAGGGGCGGGCGCATCCACGCCGCTGTAGAGGAGGACGTCGGCGCCCTGGAGGCAGGCGAGCCTGTCCGCGGTCGGCGAGAGCGCGAGCGACTGCACGGGCGCGAGGCCGGTCCGGTGCTCGCCGACGAGCTGCATCTGCCAGCTCGCGTCGAGCCGCGTCACAACGAGCGCGTTCGGCACGCCCGTCTTGGACGCGCCGCCGCCTCCGCCGAAGACGAGCAGGCTCTCGCCGTCCGCGCCGCGCCTCGCGAGGGCGGCGTCGAAGAGCGAGAAGCTAGACGTCATCGAGCTCGTGGGAGGGGCGGCGGCCCGCCGGGCGGCCGCCGCCGCCGAGAGCGGCGCCTCGGCCGCCGGCGGCTCCGCCTCGCGCATCGCCGCCGCCGCCGCCATCGCCGCGGTGAGCGCCTCCGCCTCGAGCGCAGCGGACGGCGTCGTCTCGAGCGCAGGCGTGGCGGGTGTGGGCGGCTCTGCGGGCGGAGGCTCAGAAGGCTCTGCGGGCGGCTCGAGCGAGACGGCGAGCGGCGGCTCCTCGACGGGCGGCACGGGCCTCTCCTCGGCGGCGAGCGCCTCGCGCAGCTGTGCCGAGGTTGCCTGCTCGTGCGCACAGGCGGAGGCCGTGAGCAGGCGCGGCTCTCCGGGACCGCGGGCAGGCGCGAGGGCGAGGGGCGGAGTCCTGCTCGGCGATCAGCGCCCCCTCCGTCGCGGCGAGCGCCCGGCGGGACTCGGCGAGCGCGCCCTTCTGGCTGTGCAGCTCCTGCTCGAGCGCCTGGGGGTGGCGGGAGGAGGCGGAGGAGGCGGCGGAGGAGTGGGGCTGGGGCGTGTGCGGCCCCCCTCGCCGTGCAACGCACACGCGTGCACTGGCGTGTGCGTGCGTGTCCCAGGACGCGGCCGCGCGCCTCGAGACGGCTCTGCGCGTCGATCAGCATCGCCTCGAGCCCGGTCGCCTCCTTCTTGGCGGCCGCCTCCCGTGTTGCGAGCCGCTGCTGCGCCGTCGCCAGCTGCACCTGCGGCGGGCGGTGCAACAGCACCGTCAGCAGGCGGCCTGCCGAGGCGCGCGGAGGCTGGGCGTGGACGACGAGGCGCCTCCGTCGTGGCCGCCTCGCGCTCCGCCTCCTGCTGCAGCGCGGCTCGCCGCTGCCGCTCCTGCTGCAGCTCCTCGCGAGAGTGCGCCGCGTTCTGCGCAGCCACCTCGCGCGCTTCGCGGAGCGCCGTCTGGAGCTGCTGCCGCTCCTCGGCCGCCCGCCGGTTTGCCAGCGCCTGCGCCGCCTGCGCCGCCCTCACCTTGCGCAAACTCTCACTCAGCTCCCGCTCCGCCGCAGCCCGGGCGGTCGTCGTGTCGCGCGGAGCAGACGGCGGCGAGGCCTCGCGCGAGCGGCTCGCAGCCTCGTCGCGCTCCTGCGCGTCCACCTTCTCCCTCGCGAGCCGGTAGACCTCGTGGGTGCGCTGAAGGGCCGAGAGGTGCATCGCCTGTAACTCGGAGGGCTGCCGCCGCCGCAGCGCCTCGGTGACTTCTCGTCTCCGCTGTTTCTTTTTCTCCTCCTGTGACGTTTCCCCTCTTGACGCTTGGGCCCTCGGGGGCCCCCGGGCGCTTCTCTCTCAAGAAAAACACAAATTGCCGGGCCATCCTCCGACCCTCAGACCTTGGCTGCCGAGGATGCCACAACGGCAACCAGTCGTGGCGTGCGTCGACGCGTCGACGTCTTCAGCCGAGGCGACCGCTCTCTTCATCGACAAGTTAGCCCTCGTGCTAGTGCGCGATCGCAAGCAGCTCGTCGCGCGCTCGCGAGGCAAAACCGCGTTCTTTACGCCGGGAGGCAAGCGCGAGGCCGGCGAGAGCGACGAGGCAGCGCTGAGGCGAGAGTGCCGTGAGGAGCTGAGCGTCGAGCTGATCGACGGCACCATCGAGCCGTACGGCGTATTTCAGGCGCAGGCCCACGGCAAGCCGGAAGGCACGATGGTGAGGATGACATGCTTCACGGCCGAGTATGATGGAACGCTGGCTGCGAACGATGAGGTCGCCGCTCACAGCGCCCTCGCACGGCTGGTGCTCACAGCCCAGCGCCCTCGCACGCCTCGACTTACCAACAGGTGGAGGAGCTGCGCTGGATCGCCTCGGACTGCCCACGCGCCGACCTCTCGGTGACCAGCCTGATGATCCTCGATGACCTCAAGGCGAAGGACCTGATCGACTGAGCTGCGAGCGGGTTCTTTACCACGGTTGCAATCTCGTAGTTCCTCACTCGGCTGTGCACGTTGCTGGTCTCAGGCCTGTAGAAAGCCGATGCATGCTGTTTGGGTACGTCGTTCGCATGTCCCATTGTCTTGGCGAGGTATCTCCAGCCTGCTGTGGGAACTGTGCGCTCGCTGTCTCGTCGATGCGAGGCCTCGCCCCAGAGCAAGCAGCATCTCGGCACTCGGGTTCCCTCGCCCCCCGGCAGGGCGCACCCGTGTCTCGTGAGGCGTGAGCTTGTAGGTCGCCCATCCTTGGGCGTCTGCCTCTTCCTATCCCACGGTTTTCTTTTAAAAAAGAAAAACGGAAAAAAGAATGTACCCAAACGAGTAAGACAAGGAGCTCTGGAGCACTTGGAGTGCAGTAAGAAAAAGAAAGAAAACAGAGACTTTAAGGGAGGGATGGGAGGACGGTACGCCGGTACGCCGCCACCACACAGGGATTTTAGGGGAGAAGAGTGAGTGCTAGCCGTCGCCCACCCTCGGGCGTCTACCACTTCCTCTCTCTCCGCAGTTTCTCACCAAATTCTTGGAGTGCAGTCGGCGACCCAAGAATTTTTTCTCGCACTGACCGCACTGGCCGCACACGTCATCGCACCCCATATGTTGCGCGCCACCGCGCTTCTCGGGCTAATCTCCGGCGCGTCTGCTGGGGCCGTCGAGCTCACGGGTTCCAACTTCGACGACCTGGTCACCAAATCCGGAAAGAACGCCTTTGTCAAGTGTGCTCGCGCGCCGCCCCGTCTCCGCCACCGTTCGCCCAGGACTCACCCCACCGCTGTGCGACAGGTTCCTCGCGCCTTGGTGAGGGCATTGTAAGTCGATGAAACCGGCTTGGGACCAGCTCGGCGACGAGTACTCCTCCTCAAGCTCGGTTGTCATCGGTGTGACACACACGACACATCGCCAAACTCTGCCACCGCGCTCTCCTCATTGTTTTCATGACGCGCCCGGCGCAACCAGGCGACGCGGACTGCACCGCCTCCGCCAAGGACCTGTGCGAGACGTACGAGGTCCGGGGGTGCGCCGCCACCGCGTGCTTTCCGCCGCCGCCCAGCCCCGCACCGCCGCCACCGCCGCGGCCCGCCGCCCAGGTATCCGACGATAAAGTACTTCACGGCCGAGGCGCCCAAGGGCACCGACTACAGCGGCGGCCGCGACTTCGACTCCCTCAAGAAGTTTGTTGAGGACGAGCTCGAGGTCAAGTGCCTCATCGACAACGACGAGGCGCGCGTGTGGCCCGCCCTCTGGCCGTGTGGAGGGGGGGGGGGGGGCAGCCCTGCGTCACGCCGCTCGCCCGCGCCATGCCCTTCCCGCTGCCTCTTCCCAGGGCTGCTCCGACAAGGAGAAGGACTTCATGTCCAAGTGGAAGGCCAAGGACAAGTCCGAGGTGGCTGCGCAGCTCGAGCGACTCAACAAGATGGTGTCCGGATCGATGAAGTGCCGCCGCCCGCACGCCCCCCAACCCCTCTCGTCTTTCCCAGCCCTCCCCTTCCCCCTCCCCCTCTTCCGCAGGCCGGACCTCAAGAAGTGGGTCGTGCAGCGCTCCAACATCCTCAAGCAGCTCTAGGCGCCGCCCGGAGCACAGCGGACTGGCCGGCCTGCGTGCGCCGAGATGCAGCCGTGCGGGGAAGGGGTGGATCATGACGCGCAGCTAGCGCAGTGCCCCCAGAGGGTAAGCAGCTGCCGCTGATCTTTTCGCCCACCCCTCTCCTGCAATTAGCTCGGCGCACGCGGGGGCCTGTGAGGCCTGGTCGCGATTATACGTGAATGTGATTTTAGAAAAAACGCAAAAATAAAGCTAAATGGTACATGCTACATCCTAAAAGCACGCGCTCTCATGGCTCAATCCTCAAAAAGGGAAAAAACTCAAAGTCAAACGAGCACACCGACGGTGTCAACCGATTCACAGCCTTGTTATTCACACGCCGCGTGGCCCGAATGTTTTTTAATCTCTGTTCTCTCGGGGTCGCAGTGTGGTAGGGTGCGCCCACACCCCACAGTAGTCAGGACCCAAAAGAAAATAGATTTCCACCTCAAAAAGGGACGCACGAGGCAAATCTGATGTTGGAGTGTTCCAATAGGAGCGAGGCCTCTTCCGTTGCGCGTTGGGGGACCGAGTGATTAGAAAACGAGGGTTTCCCATTTTGTGACCCGCTCGAGCGCGAGCGTGACACTGCACTTGGCGCCGAGCGCCCGCGGCTCAGACCTTGTGCAGGCCTACCCTCATTGGGCGCACCGGTCCGGACCGATGGCGCTCGGTGTGCAGAGTTGGAGCAAGCAAGACCCCCCCCCCGCCCCCCCCCCCATCGGCGCGCGCCCGACCTTTGAACGGGAGCCTCCTACAGCTGGCGCACTCGTGGTCGCGCATACTCGTAGCGCCCCACCCAAACAACGGTCAGACGTTTCAAGCAAATTACACTTTAAGTTGTTGCGGTTTCTCAGTGCGATGTGGCTCTTACTGAAGGTGGACTACATGTACTTGACACCCGGGAAGAATCTCTCTGAGAGATGCGATCTCAAGAAGTCGTGTTTGTCAACGGCGTCTGTTCTCGACAGTCGTGATCTGGGGTTCTGTGTTAGGTAAGTAAGTGTGCATAGACACAAACAAAACTGCACGATAACTGTGAACCTCCAAAGCCGTTTGTGCCCCGTTTGTGCCGCGGCCCGTGCGCCGGAGTTCATTTTATTATTCCACAGCCAGCGCCAAGCGCGGCGGGACGAAGGCTTGCAGCTCTTCTTGCTCCGCTCATGATCAAGCTGTTCAGTCTGAAGGAGGAGAAGGCCAAGGAGGCCGCCGCTGGCAGCTCCACGGCGAAGGTCGCGCCCGGGCTGATCCGCATGCAGAAAGGTGCTGCGCCCCCGCACCGCCGCCGTCCGCGCCAGCCGCCCGCGTCCCGGACGCGGTTCAAGCCGCGGGCACCCCGAGCGAGCGGCCGCTCGGCGTGCCCGCCCTTTCGATGTTCGCACGCCGCACCCCCAGCCCTGCTCGCTCCGCCTCCGTACAGACATGAGCGAGCTGACGCTCGATCACGGCTGCAAGCTCGCGTTTCCCAACGGCAAGGAGGACCTGATGAACTTTGAGCTGACGATCAAGGCCACCGACGGCATCTACAGGAACGGGAAGTTCGTCTTCAAGGTGACGGTGCCGTCCGCGTACCCGCACGACCCGCCAAAGGTGCAGTGCCTCACGACAATCTACCACCCGAACATCGACATGGAGGGCGCCGTCTGCCTCAACATCCTGCGCGAGGACTGGAAGCCGGTGCTCACGATCCAATCGGTGATCATGGGGCTGCAGTTCCTCATCCTCGAGCCCAACCCAGACGACCCTCTCAACAAGGAGGCCGCGCTGCACATGACGAAGGAGCGCCGCCCGCCCCGCCCGCCCTACTGCAGCGCCCGCCCGCCCGCCCGCCCCGCCTGCCGCCCGCAGCGCCCGCCCGCCCGCCCGCCCCCAGCCTCCCGTCCCTCCCCGCCCGCGGTCGCGTCCGGCCGCAGGCGATCCCCTCCCTTGCCGCGAGCCCACCCCGCCTCCGCCCCCCTGCCCCCGCAGAACAAGCAGCAGTTCGAGCAGCTCGTGCGCCGAGCTGCGCCAGTCTGCCGCCTCGCCGCCTGCTCCGCCTCTCACGGGGTGGCCTCCTGCCGCCTAGGTGCGCCAAACCTTCAAGGGGCGGCAGATGAGGGTGGGGGACAAGCTCTACTCCTTCCCCTGCTTCGAGTGAGCATGCGGCGCTCCTATTCCCACGCGGCGGGTTGTCTGGGCGCTGTGCCGCCCCTCCTCGCTTCCTCCACAGAGAGGTGGCCCGGTGTATGTGAGTCGACGGTTGGCGCAGACCACCGCTCTGGAGCGGGGCCTTGGGCCAGGACGAGGAGCGTGCCGTGCGTTGTTCGCCGCGCGCAATCTTCTCGTCGCGGGGGAGCCATCGACGAACGCGGTGTTTCTGTTTGCGTCTCGGCCCCGGTGCTCCTCTTTCTTCCGCGGTCCTTCTACGTTGTCTTGTTGCCGCTTTGTCGCCTGTATAAGAAGAACTTTATGTGCGCCCTTTTCCCGTCCCCTGGCCCCTGGGGCCAAAACCAAAATCCCGAGCGACGGAGAGTCAGAGAGAACCTCCCACGCCGCGCCCACCGGCCCCGCGCACCGCGTGTGCGGGGGTGCACGATCGTAAATAAATGTATCCCTCTCTACTGTGAGAACTGAGATGGGTAAAAAGGAACAGATCCCCCCCCGTGGCCGTGCGATCTTTGTCGGCAGCGAGGGGGTCAGGCTGTCGTCAGGGTGGGCCGGGGTGGCGCCGTGACACACTATCCACTAAGTCGTAAGTGTCTTTTTCGTTTTTGGAAGAAAACCCGCAAAAAATAGTCCCTCTGGCTCTGCGTCGCCGCGCGGGCCGAGATATCACATGTATGTATTGGGAAAGGTCTCTTCCGGTTCGGCTCATGCGCGGCGCAAACTGGCGGCAGCCCGGTGCGGCATGAATGTTCTGTCTGGGTCTGAGAGGCATGGCGGTCCAGGGCGCCGCCGCCTCTCATCGCTGTGCTACCGCGCCGCCCGGCTCGGGCCCGCGGAGAAGGCCCAGTCGACGCTGATGGTCGAGCCCATGAGGGTGGACCCGTTCATCTCATCGATGGCGCCCTGCGCGTCCTTTTGCTTCTCGTACTCCACCAAGGCGTAGCCCTGCGAGGCAGCGAGCGGTGCGGTGGGAGCGCGGAGCTGCGGAGAGCTGCGGTGAGGTGCGGAAGGACCTTGACGAAACCGGTGCGCCGGTCGAGGTTGAGGTGCAGGTTCTTGATGTCGCCGATGTCGCAGAAGGCGTCATGCAGGTCGTCCTCGGTCGTCTCCTCGTGCAAGTTGGTCACAAAGATGATCCAGCCCTCGATTGCTGATGCGGCGGGGAGGGGGGGCTCGGTCCTTGGGCTGTGGCGCAGCGCCCGCGCCGCCCGCGCACTCGCGGCGCACATTTGGCCGGGCCCTTGGTGCTCCCACCCTTGCTGTCGATGCTGTCGTAATCGCCGCCCTCGTCCTGCATCGTCTGCGTGCTGCCCGCCGCTCCCCGCCCCTTCATCCTGCGGCCCGCCGCGTCGCGCACCGCACCCTTCGACGAGCCTCCAGCCTCCGGCTCCTTGGCCATCTCCTCAGCGTCGCCAAAGTCGACCTCCTCGCCCTCCATCGCGGCAGGCTCCGAGTCGCTCGCGCGTTGCCTGCGCGGCGGATGGCAAAAGATGGCGAGCGGGCAGGAGTTGTGGAGGGAAGGCGGCGAGGGTGAAAGCGGCAGTGGTGGCAGGGGAGGCGGCGAGGGCGGCGGCGAGGGTGGCAGCGAAGGGGGGTTGAGGGGGGGGGGCGAGATGGCGGTGGCAGCGGCAGCGAGGGAGTCGACGAGGGTGGCGGCTGACGAAAGAGGGGTGATGGCGCAGGCGGACAGCGCAGGCGGCGGCGAGGGGGGTGAGAAGGGATTGGGCGAAGTGGCGAAGTGGGCCTGGAGCTGGGTGGGGCGCTCTTCTCAAAAGAATTCACGGACCCCGACCCTTTTGCTTCATAGTGGTCATGGTGACCAAATCTCGATATATCTCCAGTCGTAGCGGTGGAACTTTTGTTTGGCTCGGTCAATTATTTAGCCATATATGAGAGGATCACGGCACAGTGTCGTTTGAGTCGACAGTAACTCTCCCACAGCCCACGTAACTCCGTCCGTCTTTTTCAGGCACCCGGAGCCCTCCGCGGCCGCTTCTACGCCGGCGAAGCACCATCAAGCTGCTGTACGGCCCCGGCATCGCCTCCCCTGGCTTAGCTCTCAGTCAAGATATTGTGCACATGGGTGGCCTCTACAATATACTCACTGACACTGAACCTCCCAGAGCTCGTCCCGGTCCGTCACGGCCATCCTCGTCCTCCGGCGGGCCCCCGGCCGCGGCGCGGTGCGGCGGCGTCACAAATCCGACCACAGAGCACCGGGACGCGGTCGGGCGATCTGAGGCCCAGGTAGGCGAATGCATTGCCCATCCAGGGCTATCACCTGGACCTATCAACAGGCGCCTGCGGCGCCGTGCTCAGGAGTTGGTTTTCACTCGCTCGAAATGTGTACGTAAAAGGGTTAAGGCTCCCATCCCTCCCTTGGGTTGTCCGTTTTCTTTCTTTCTTTCTCCCATCCCTCCCTTGGTTTGTCTGTTTTCTTTCTTTCTTTCTTTCCCTTGGATCTTAGATAGGAAGAGGCGGACGCCCAAGGGTGGGTGACGGCTAGCGCATCACACCTGATCACACCCCTCTCCTTAAAATCCCTGTGTGGTAGCGGCGTGCCGTCCTCCCATCCCTCCCAAGAGAAAGAATGTTGGTTAATAAAAAACTCTCTCTCTCCCTCCCTTGGGTTGTCTTTTTCTAAAAAACTGTTCCTGTTACGAAAAAGGCAGCTACCTGCTCCGGCGACACTAGGGACTCGGGCCTGATCCCGCACAAAACATCTCCACACTCTCTCCTCTCCTATGACACGACTCTCCGACCTTGGCGCTTGGGCTAGATTCCCATTTGATTCACCACAAGCGCCAAACTGCTTCGCCGCGCGCTGCTTACAGCGTCAAGTGCGGCCCTTAGCTGAGTAGAACTCGAAGTGGGCGTCGAGGGGGCCTATAGTAGAGTGTGAGCCCGCGCGCTAGTTATCTTTTTCTTTCTTTCTTTCTCCCTTGGATCTTTTTGAGGCACTCCCTTGGGGCGTCTGTTTTCTTTCTTTCTTTCTTGGGACTGGCGCGACAAAACAAAACAAAAATCTCTCTCTCTCTCTCTGGCGCGCACTGCCACTGGCGGGGTCACCAATAAAAATAATTCACCCGCGATTTTTTTCCTATGTTGGCCTACCTAACTCTTGGTCTTGCGTGTACGGCATTTGCACGTCCGCCCGCCAATTTAACTCTCTCTCTCTCCCAATTTACACGATCGTTGCTAAAAATCTCTCTCTCCCCCCCCCGGTCGTTAGGCCCCGCAAGAGGGTGAGAGATTTTTAGCTAGAGTGTGTGTAGAGCTGGAGAGCTGGAGAGCTTGAGCACTTGAGCACTGGAAGGGTCGATTCCGCATTCGGGACCCCTGTAGATAGAGCATGAGCAAGGGAGGGTGTAGAGGATGTAGCGTGTAGAGCGCTGAGAGCTGTAGAGCTGGAGAGCGCTGTAAAGCTGTAGAGCTCTACATCCGCCGCGGCATCCGCCGCGGGGCGATGCGAAGCGATGTAGATAGAGGCGCTCTACAACGTGAAATCTCACAACAAACTCTACATCATAAGGGGCGAACGAGGCCCGGTCGCTCTCCGACATGAGGCGCGTTGCACTTGCCAGTGCTGCCCTGGCCTTCTGTCTGCCAATAGTTGGAGGCTGCCTGCTGTGATACAACTGTGCCTCACGGCTTGCATCGCAATCGAGCGTAACCGTCGTTCGTTGTCATGGCGGACCCGTGGGGCTCTTTGGAAGCCGAGTTTGACCTGCGCTACCCGACCCCGGGTCGGCAGGGAGGCACGCCCGATATCCTCCGCCTGGACGAGGACGGGCGATCGATGCCGCTGCAGCAACTGGCCGTGGATGAGCATCGCGCCGCCGCGCCGCTGCCTGCGTTTGCCCCCGGTCCGCAGCCACGGCAAAGGCCAGCTAGTGCCAGCACGGTAGAGAGGATGGCGGGGATGCTCCGCTCAATCAGCTTTGCCGCAGGGCAGCCGCCCACTGGCACCAGTGGCGCAGACAGTGCGCGTTCGCAGGCTTGTGCGGCTGTCGCCGCCTCTGTGAGGCGAGACTTTGCCGGTGCGGCAATTGGCAGGCTCGTGGAGTCGGCGCCGCACGTTGCCCTGGCGTTGCAAGGGGCTGTGCTCGCCTCGGCTGGCGTCCTCTTGGGGGCGGAGGCCGCGACGATGGCGTTCGAGTGGGCTCGCTCCAGCCTGGACGACCTCCGCCACTTTGTTGCCGCCGGTGCCCGTCTCCTCTGCCGCCACCACTCATTCCCATTGTTCCGACCGACCGCACCGACTCTCCTCAGGCGAGGCAGCCACGGCTCAGCTCTTCCCCGGCGCCTACTATCGGGAGATTGTCGAGGCGGACGTCGCGCAGCTGGCCGCTGCGCTTACTGACACCGGCCGTCAGCATGAGAGGCGCAGCGCCGCTCGTCTCGATGTCTTGGCGGCCCTCGCCCGCCCTGGGGCGGGCGCCGCTGAGCTCGAGGGTCTAGCTCAGGCCGCAGGGGAGCACGGGCTTGTCGCCGAGGCGGCGGCGGCCAGGCACGTGGCTGAGCTGTCGCGAGCGCACTCCGCGTGCCGCGAGGCGGAGAGGACGGCCCTTGACGCGGCGGCCGCCGCCAAGCGCGGGCTCGCCGACGCCCAGTCGGCAATGAAGCACGAGCGGGTGGAGAGGGGCGAGGCACAGCGGACGGCGAGAGCGCTCGAGGACGAGCGGAACGCGCTCAGGGTGCAGCTTGCGCGAGACACTGAGGAGCGACGGCGGGTGGAGGGTGCGAGCATCAAGACGCTCGAGCAGCTCAAGCTCAACGACGAGGCACGGTGGGCGGCAGAGCGTGCGCTGCAGGCAGAGCAGCGGAAGCTGCAAGAGCTGGAGGCGGAGCACAGCCGCTCGGCTACGGCAGTGGCCGAGCGGCTCGCCGCGGCGGACAGACGCGCTGGTGAGGCGGCTGCGTCGGCTGCAACAGAGGGTGCACGGCACGTCGAGGCGGAGCGAAGGGTGGTAGCGCTCGGCTCACGGGTGGAGGCGCTGGAGGGGGTGCAGCAGCAGCTGGAGGCTCAACTCAATGTTGAGCGCGACGCGGCCGCCAACGAGCTCTCGCTGCGGCAGGCGTCGGAGCGCGAGCTCGCCGAGGCGCGCGACTCGCTGCGAGTGGCAAAGAGGGCGGCTGAGGTTGCCGAGGCGGAGCGATCCACTGCAGCGGCCGAGGTGGCGCGGTTGACTGCGGACCTGAAGGGCGCGGAGGAGCGTCTGCAGGTGGCAAATGAGCACAGCCTACAGGGCCACCTCGAGGCAGCGTCGAGCGACGAGGCGCTCTCGCAGCTCAAGCAGCTGAGGGAGCAAGACGGCGAGCGGCTGATGAAGCTCAACAGCGCAAAGGCGGAGCTGGCGCAGGCGCTCAAGGCGGCCGAGGAGAGGGTCGCGTCCGAGGTGGAGGCGGCGGGCCGCGCGGCTAAGGAGGCGGCCGCACGACAGTACGAGCTGCAGGCGCGCCTCACGGAGGCTTCGCGGCGGGTGGAGAGCCTGCAGGTGGAGCACGCCCGCAGCGAGCTGAGGCTCGAGCATGAGAGGGCGGCTGGGTCAACGACGCAGGAGGAGAGCTCAAGGCGGACTCGTGAGCTCGCAAAGGAGCGGCGCGAGCGCCAGCAGCTTGCACACGAGCTGGCGGCCGAGCGTGCTCTGCGCAGCCGCTGCGAGGAGGAGGCGATCGCGCTACGCAGAGAAGTCGAGGCGGCGAGGCGCGAGACAGAGGTCGGCGCGCAAAGGTTGACTCACCTGCAGGCGGAGCTGCAACTTGCGACGACTGAGGCGTCCGAGGCAGCCGCCGTTCGCGAATACGTCGACTCTGCCCACCGCCACCGCGAAGCCGTGGCACGAGAGCGGGTTTCCACCGCGCCACCCATGCCGCTGCCAGCCCCTCAGCTAGGAAGGCCGGCAGCGGGGAAGGTTCACTTCGCGGACGAGGTCCGTGATGAGGGGATGCAGTGGCTAAACACGACACGCGAGGATGGTTTGGATGACGAGCTCGGCCGCTCCGATCTATGGAACTTCTCGAGCGGTGTGATGGCGCGCGGCGGCGCGACCAGCAACCGCGGGGGGCTGCGACAGCGCGTCACGACCAGCCCGTCACTCCCGCAGATTGTGGGTCCATTCCGTACTGCTTGCACGTAAGTATCTGCTCGCAGATGAGAGCACACCGCGGGGCCGATTGAGTCGGTGGCATGTGTGTCAGCTTTTGCATATGCTCTGGGTCCCTAGTATGGGTTCGTCCCCTGTTCACAGCAGTGTGAATGGGTCCCCTACCCCCAGTATATGTGTGTGTGTGTGTCGTCAGAGTGTGTGTTTTTTGCCGTCTAGTAGAGCACACACACCCACTGCCACCCATCCACCCACCCACTCACACTCTCTATATATCTTTAAACACACTCTCTCATGTGAACACACACACTTTTCCCGCCCCCCTCGTCTCTCGACTCTCCGTTCCACGTTCCCCGCCTCCCCCCCACAGCACGCCGCCGGCCCGCGGCGCCGACAAAAAGAAATCACACACGTTTTACATGCGTCATCCGTAATATTATGACTCCTCATAGTATAGACTCCTCTTATCTCTCATGAGGAGATATCAGTATAAACTCGCCGCCCGAACTCGTCGGCCACGCGATTATTCCACCAACCGTCATGGACTGGTCACAACAGGAAGCTCGAGCACGCTGTCTCCCCCGTTGCAATCGAGCGCCACGCGCAACGCAACGTCCGCGTTCGCGGGCTGGAACGTCTGGTGATGCAAGCTAAGGCCAAGGCCAATCGCGCGGCCAGCAGGCACGTCCGTGCAGATTGCGGGCATTCGAACGGTGAGCGGTCCGCCACCATCAGCGTCCGCCTGCCACGTCCAGCTGACCTCGCCGGGCTGCGCCCACGCAGGGTCGGCGCCTCGCTCCCACACGCCTCGGCCAGCAAAGGTGAGCAGGTCGAGCAAGCCCTCTTTCTTGTCCACGGAAAAAAGGAACGCGGCAAGCTGGAAGCGCTTCATGCTGGGCGTGACGTGGATGGTCGCGTTTGGGATGCCGCACAGGCGCAGCGGTGCCTCGAGCACCTCGGACTCCCAAAGCCCCGCGGCGGTCGTGTTGATGTCCTCCACGCGAGAGTATATTTTGTTGCCCCACCCCGCAGCGATGAAGGGCCCAACGACTGGCACCCCCACGTGGAAGCCGGTCTGTACGCCAAATGCGAGATGGCGCTGGCACTTGCCGCCCATCAACGAGACCTCCACGCCTGTGAAACGATCGAGCTCCCGTGCCCACATTTGAGACGCCATGTCGAGGTCGCCACGCGCCGACGGCGAAGAGCCACTGGCGCTGCAACATCCGCACATATTTACCGCCATGCAGCCGGGGGCTTCGGAGCCGGAGCACGGCGTTCCGGGCGGCGCCGGCATGCAAGGCATGCTGCAAGCCCTTGGGTTACCGCAAGCCTCAGACTCTAATCCAAGCACCAGGTGCGAGCCAGCGAGCTTATACGCGGTGGGCAGGACGCGCGCACTCGGCCAGGACTCGAACTCCTCATAGCTGGGCTCATTGTTGGTGTAGACAGAGGCACGGGGCTCCCGGACCTGAAACGAGACGGGGATCAGTGGACTGCCGGCCCGCCACGTCTCCGCGGGAATGTCAATGTCACGGCTGGCAGCTACGGCGGCGGCGACTGCTGCGGCGGCTGGCGTCAGGCGGCAAGCGTAGCGGCCATGGTCCGAGCGGGGAAGACATGATATGTCCGCGCTGCATCCGCCGAACGATCCGCACACGCCGCAGCCGCAGCTGTCGGCACAAGAGTTGCGTGGGAACCCTGCTCCGCAGTGGCGACCGTAGCGCGATTCGCACTCTTCACACAACGGCAGAGCGGCGCACTCTGGAGTAGCGTGATCATCGCCACCGCCGAAGCAAGGATGGGAAGTTGGGTAGTAGTCGAGATAGACCCTTGAGAATGCGGCGGGAGCAGCGCCGCTTGCCGTGGTGGTGGCTACGCCGGTGGACGGGGCCTTCAGATGGTACTGGAGGAAAGCAAAGACGCGTCCCCAGAGCGGCAAGGAGACGGCGATCGAGTCCGAGAGGCCGAGCATGCCCGGAATCTCTGCCATGGCGTGGATCCCCTCGTGGAGCATCAACTCGACGCGGCAGCCGGCACCTTGCAGCGCTTGCCTGTAGATGAATGCGCCGTCAGGCGCGAAGAGCCGGTCCTCCGCGTTGTTGGAGAGGAAGACGGGCGTGGCGCGGCCGCCACCACACAGCGCGTGGAGGTGCGACTCCGGGCTTCTCAATCGCGCCCACTCGAGCAGGGGCAGGGTGAGGTTCCCCGCCATGATCTCAGCAAAGATGGGCGGGACGGAGGGATCGAGGTTACCCATGCCCAGCCACGGCGAGCCGGTCAACTTGAGAAACTCGTACCTGCGGCCGCCACCACCCTCTCGTTTGATTAGGTACGTCCCGAGAGGCTGGTGGGCTAGGGTGATGGGATCGTACCAAACCAAATTAGGGGCCGCCTGTCCATCAAGCGCCCGCTGGATGTTCCCCCAGGCCGAGAGGCAGATGACGGCCTTGACTCTCGCGTCGTTGGCCGCTGTGAGCGCAGCCAACCCGCCGCCATACGAGACGCCGCAGGTCGCAATACGGCTCGTGTCTGCGCCCCAATCTGCGGCGCGCGCTTCGAGCGTATCGAGCACTCGGACAGCATCGCGCTGCTCAGGTTCGCCGGCGGCCGTCACCGACCCTTCCGAGTCCCACCACCCTCTCGCGACGTACATGAGGACGACATATCCGGCCGACGCCTAAGGACACGTGTCGTAATCATGTTACGGAGGGCGGCTCTAGTCAGAGCCGCAGCCCTCGCGGGGCGCCGTGCACCCACTCCTGCTGCTTCATAGCGTACTCCCACCAGTTCATCACCCACGAGTTGCAGAGGACGACGACCGGAAAGCGTGCCGCCTCCGCCGCCCCAGCCTTGGGATACGCCACCACCGCCTTGAGCCGCACGCCGCCGTCGCCAATGATGGCAAGCTCTTCCCATTTTACCGCAAAGCCGCCCGGTGTGAGATCGCCCACCCCAGCCGCCTGAGCTGCAGAGTAAAATCCCTGCGCGATACGCGACTCGTAGAACTGAGTCACGCCGTCCTTCTTCGCCTTTGCCGTGGCCGTCAACTCGTCCAGCCAAGGGAAGTTGATCGTAGGTGGCGTCGGGAGGAGCTGCCCCAGCCAATGCAAGCTGTCGTCAAGAGTCTGCTCCACAGAGTCTGCATCCAGCAGCATTTGCACGTTTGCCTCCTCCGCCGCAAGCTTTGCGTTGTACGTGGCATCCTCGAGGAGATCTCCGACGGATGGCAATATTGTATGGCGGGACAGGCGGGACCTGACCACCGCTCCCGACCCAGCAACATCCCACAGCGCAGCCTCCCATGACTGATGCGAAAGAAAGGTTTCGCGGAGCCGCGCTGGAGTCACAGAGGCACATATACACAGGAGAAGAGCGCCTGAGAAGGCCACGGCCACCGACACGCACGGCCACCAACGCCTCCTCGGGGGGGAGAGCATTTCGATAGGACGGCCGGGCCACCGGCCGGGCACGGCCACGGAAATTCAACAATCGGCCAGCAGTTTTCACATAAACGCACACCCCGGGCTCCGAAATCGAATGAGAGTCAGACTTGCAACACGGGGTCCCAGGAAGGCAAGCAACCTTTTCTTCAGAATTTCCGTGGCACCCCGCAGATAATTCTTTACTTGATTGTACAGATCAAGCACGAGCTGGCACCAAGAGCACGAGCTGGCACCAACGAGCTCTGTGTCCTGACTTGCCAACAGTACACCAACAACGACCGTGGGTCTGTCTCTCTCACCGCCCGCTGTTGCTTCACATAAACGCACAACCCCGGGCCCCGAAATCGCACGCGCCGCTTCACCATTTTTTTCCACTCGGGGGCACAATGCAAGCGCAGCTCGACGCGGTCTACGCCAAGACGCGAGCGCTGGATGACGAGTTTGGACCGGCGCGCCGCGCCGCGATCACACGTTGCGAGGCGGATCTCGCGGCAGCGCGTGAGGCTCTCGGTGCCGTTGAACTGGAGGTGAATGCGCTGCCGCGCTCGGAGCGGGCGGCCGGGCTCGAGGAACTGAAGGCGCACAAGGCGAAGATTGCGGCACTCGCCGCCGACCTCAAGCGTGCGGTCGTGTCGCTTCCAAGGGACGAGCTGCTCGGGCGAGACGACCCGGAAGAGGCGGCCACGTTGCGTGGCGAGAGAGAGGAGGCGCACGCGCGGCTCCTCGCGACGCACGACCGCACGCGCGCGGGCACGAGGAAGCTGCGCGACGCAGCTCGTACTGTGGCGGAGACCGAGGAGATTGGCGCTGCCATCATGGGCGACTTGGCCGCACAACGGCAGACGCTGATGCACTCCTCGGGCGTATTGCGCGCCACAGCGGAGCGGCTCGACCGGTCGCGCAAACTGGTGGCCGCGATTGGCCGGCGCGCTTGGCAGAGCCGCATGATAATGCGGGTGATGATTGCGATGCTGGCAGTCCTCGTGCTGCTCCTCCTGTACTTCATGATGGCGACGTAGGGGGCTCGAGCGCAGCCGGCTCCCGGGTTTTATCTTTTGTTGTGTCTCTCTAAACAAGTAAAAGATCGTGAAGAATGGGGGCTAGCGGCGGCGTTTTCTTTTATTGTGTTTTTCCACTGTCTGTGTTTCTCGTTACACGTTAGCTATATGTGGCTATAGCCCCTAGTATAGCCCACCATGCTATATAGCCCATAGCCCCAGGCCCACAGCCTAACTATCCGCGTGAAACTCCTCGCGTCGAGAGGGGATCTCGCGCGACCGGGTTTTGCGCAGCTGCTCTCGGTAGCGTACGAACTCTGATCTCTGTGATCTGTGATCTGTAAGGGTCCGCCCGCACGATGAGAAACCAGCGACGGGGCAGGTTGCGTTCGTTTGTCACTCGCCATGCGCGTCCTTGGCTGACCCTCCAAAACTCCCTCCCCGCCGTTCGCGGCTCGGCTTGCGTATGCGGATGGGAGCTTCGAGGACATGCAGGCGTCCCACCCCCTCCGGCCATCCCCCCGGCTCCCAAGCGCGCGGCCGCGACGCGCTGCGCACCCTCTTCCGCGCTGCACCCGCTCTCGGCATGGCCGTCGTCCGCCGAGATCACCTCCTCTTCGCGCCGCAGGTGCACAACCAAGGGCTGGCCACCTCCGTATCCATCATGGTGAAGCCAATGGGCCAAAAAGGGAGAACGCTCCCCTCCCAGGTGGCCGGAGGGTACACCTCGGGTCGGCGTGCTGGGGGGGGCGCCGGTGCGCAAGCCCACTTTCCGGGCGACCCCGAGGGGGAGGAGGCCGGGCGAGTGGCAGCAATTCACTGTTAGTGTCCCGGGCCGCTGCGGTACCGTTTATACGGCCCCTCGTAATGTCTTTCCGATTTTGCATTGTGAGTCGTCCTCTGGCCAGCCGAGGGGCACCAGAACGGCATGTGTACTGGTGCTGGCTGCGGGTGCGGAACGGGCTTTTTTTAACTCGCAACCAACTATACTATACAAGGACACCCTCGGGGGAGACACTCGGCGCATGTGCGACGCGTCAGGGTGGAGTTGGCAGTGGCCGAGCGTCGTCTCCCAATCGACTCGCAGCGCGGAGTCGAGGGGTGAAGCGCGTCGCGCTGCGACACTCGAGAGCCGGCGGGATAGCCGTGGGGCGCGGCCGACTTTGATGTCCTCGAAGGTCCGGTGCGCATTCGTCCTCTGAGACCCACGCGTACAGGAAAGGGGCGAGAACGAGGCCTTTTGCGGCGGACATTTTGGGGCGCGCATCCGCAAGCGCGTTCCACACAGTGCGCAGGCGCATTTTGATTTTTGGATACCGAGGCGGTGCCCGGTGCTTAGCGCAGGCAGAGCCCACAGGTCGCGACCTTAAGACAGCGTTGTAGATCCCTGGGCGAGGCCGAGGGGAGGGTGGTGGAGAGGGCGGTCCGTCGGCGCCAAACCACCTCCCCACCGAGGTGGGCAGGTTCCACGCGTTCCCGGACCGCCCCGTTGGGTGTACGAACTCTGTTCATTCGAGTCTATGTTCACAGCGAGAGCGACCGTGAGTCAGACGTACCTAAATCCAGGCACAGGGTTCGAAACAAACTTTTCCGGGGTATGGACTAACTATGGTATGGTACGATCAGCGGCCCAAAGGGGTGGGGGTATGGTCCTGACCGCCCAAGACTAGCCCTACCATACCCCCAAGCAGGTCTGCCAGCAGGCGGGGGGTATGGTCTTGAGCTGCAACCATACCGTGCCTCGCAAGAAGTTGGAACCCAGCACTTCAGGCCGCAGATCAGAAGGCCCTCCGACGGAGGCTCCAGCCCCCCCGTCGGACTGTGCTCCCCCCCCCCCCCCCACCACCTACCTACCTATTGCGGGGCCCTCTGGGGCGGTCAAAACCGGACCTACCTACCTATTGCATAGGGTCTAACCGTAGCTGGGTCTGGGACAGACCCCCTATCTGGGTAGGAGCCGGAACCCAGGCCGCGCCGATGGGTCTGCAGGTGAGGTTTACCGACGAGCTGCGCTCGCTTGCCGGCGCAAAATGGGAGGCCGTCATAAACCATCGCTTCACCGACGCTCTCGCGGCCGGGACCATTGACCGCGACGTCCTCGCTCGGTATCTGGTGCAAGACCATCGCTTCCTCGACTCCTTTGTTGTTTTGTTGTCGAGCATGGTGGCTGCCGCTCCCAGTCTCGCGGCCCGAATCCCGGGCTGCCAGTTCCTCGCACTCATCACGGGTCGGGAGAACACTTACTTCGAGCGAAGTTTCGCGGCGCTTGGCGTCGACGACGCCGCGCGTGAGTCGGCGCCCGATACGGCACCGACAGTGGCGTTCAAGGCGCTGATGCGCGACGCCGCCAAGGCGACCTATTCGGAGATGCTGGCGGTACTGGTCGCGGCCGAGTGGAGCTACCAGTCTTGGGGCGAGCGCGTGCTGCCCGCCGCGGTGCAAGAGCCCTTCACGTCCAGAGAGTGGGTCGACCTGCACAGCGGCGAGTACTTTGGCTCGGTCGTGGAGTACCTGCGCGGCCTGCTGGACGAGGCCGCCGCGACGATGACTCCAGCCGAGCGTGCCGCCGTCGAGGTTCGCTTCCTGGCCGCCGTCGACATCGAGCTCGCCTTCTTCGATGCGGCATACGAGGATTCATAAGTCATGAGGAATACCATGGCATGCCTCACTGCAGACTGGGCAAGTTCACAAAGCCGCAGACCCGGGTTGCGTCTTGCAGACTGTGTCCAGACTCGAGTGCAACACTTAGACTTGTGACTTGGCCCGTACACACAAACACAGTCCACACACGCGCCGGTGCGGCATGGCGAGAGAAGACAATACTCAATAGTGACATGCACATGTACATGGACATGTCATGTTGTTGTTGTTGTCATGTCATGTAGTGAGATGACGAACGATGCTCACTGCATTCTATTGTGTTCAATATAAGTGAGACGCCAGACGGTTCGAACTTTGGTGGATTTGGGGCCATGCTGCAGGCGCACGCGAGACACGAAGTGTGCTCCGCGCAGAGAGAGAGAGAGAGAGTCAGAGAGAGAGAGAGAGAGAGAGAGAGAGAGAGAGAGAGAGAGAGAGAGAGAGAGAGAGAGAACTCACGTGTCACGAACACTGGAACCACAAGAGAGACAAGAGTGTGATGCGCGGAGGGCCTGCATGGGGACACCGCCAGCGACAACATTCTCTCAAGCGCATGCGACCCCCGGTCCCGCCCCGGCACCAAAAGAAGATCACGGCATGGGTGTGTGCGCGGGTCTGTGACGTCCGATGTCCCTGGGCAATTCCACGCGATCGCTCACCACGAGCGCCGAGGTGTCGCCCTGGCATCGAGCGCACACCGCCACAACAACGGTTTGTCGATTAGTGTTGGCCCCATCAAAAGACAAAAGTCGGCTGTCGTAGAGTTTGCGAGGCCCCTTTAGACAAAGGCGCAGCGTCGTGACTGGGGTCAAACCCACGCCGAAGATCTCAAAGATGCTCACGACGAGGACGTGGAGCTCTCCGAGACCTCCGAGATGCGGTCTTCCTCTTGGCGTGGCGTGTGGTACATCGTGGCGATTGCAGGGGTCTCGCTTGGCGGAGAAGCCATGCCGAGGCCCAACATTGTAGCAGCCGCGAGATCTTTCGAATAGTCTTCGGAGGCAGTAGCAGAGCTCTCGAGGGTCACGACTGCTTGGAGAGGTGCAGGACCAGGAGCCATTTCCATCAGCTTGAGAGCAGACTGAGGCACAGTGTGCGCCTCAACCTGCTGCGGTTGAGGCTGGTTGGGCCTCAGTTGCACCAAGAGAGGCTGTGGCTGAGTCTGCAGCTGCAGCTGCAGCTGCGGCGGTGATTGCGGCTGTGGTGGCGGCAGTTGCAGTGGAGGCTGCTGCGGCGGCTGCAGTTGCAGCGGCTGCTGAGACGGGTCCTGTGCGGCCTGCGGCGCAAGTGGAGGCGACGAGATGACTTGCGTCAGCTGCTGAGGCGGAGACTGCTGCAGTGCCAGCGTCGGCTGGGACTGCTGCGACTGCAGCTTCGGCGGCGACTGCGACTGCGGCTGCGGCTGCGGCGGGTGGGACTGCGGCGGCGACTGATGCGGTTGTTGCAACAGCTGTGGCTGCACCAACGCCACCGTTCCCGGCTGCTGCGGCTGGGCCTGCGCCTGGACCTGCATCGTCTGCTGCTGCTGTTGCAGTCCGGTAAGCGGCTGCTGCATGTTCTGCGCCGCCATTATCATCTGCGCTGACGCCATGCCGGGCGCCATTTGCTGCGAGGCGACTTGCGCAGGCAAGTTCTGCATCTGCATCTGCATTGTTGGCATAAGCTGCGAGGGCATCTGCTGCACGACCGTTGAGAGGCCCATCGACATCTGGTCCTGCACCTGGCCCATGCCGATGGGCGCGCCCCCCACCTGACCGGCCATCGGCATGAATCCCGGGTGCATCATGCCTCCCACAAACATCTGGTTCGGCATGTACCCGTTGGAAACCATCGTCGTGGCGGGCACCGGCGGCATGTTGAGGGAGCGGCGCGCCTGATTCATCATCTGGAGCTGCTTCAGGATCGCGTCCGCGTTTGCGGTGCTAGTCTGACCCTTGCCGTCGGCGTTCGGGCTGCTGATGTGGGCCGCCTTGAGTGCGCGAGAGTCGCGCTGTCGTCGGTTCTGAGACGAGCGGGGGAGGGCATGTGTGAGCTGTGGAGGAGAGGGGATGGCAAGGCGGGCAGAGGGCGATGCCGAGGCGGCCCAGTCATTTGCGGGATGGGGACCGCCGCGCGCCTGGAACCAGAACTGCACCTGGCGCGGCTCGACCTCAAAGTCCTCGGCGAGGCGCCGTCTCATCTCGGCTGAGGGGAAGCGCTCCATCTGATAGATCTGCTCGAGGATGAGCTTTGCCTTCTTGGATATTGCCCAGCGGGGCGAATGTGACCCTTTGAGCACACCACCTCGCATGGACATGGGCAGGCTGCCGTCCAGGCTGTCGTTTCCGTACATCTCGCTGGTCGGGCTGTAGGTACCATCCTCGTCTGCTCGCGGCGAGGTTGGTGCGGGCGGCCCGTTGACCGGGTCCAGTTGGGTCTGTTGCGCTTCCCAGGCCATTTTGCAGGGTTGCTGGTGCTGGCGGGAGCCGGAGGGCGCTTTTGAGGTCCAGTGTCGACAGCAGGAAAGCTGTTTCTCCGGCGGTAGTAGCACTTGCGTGAGTATTAGGCGAGTAATTAGGTATTCTCATACTAAGTTTTGGGGAGCGCGAATTCGGTTAAAGGGTCATGGGACGTAATACATGTCGGTTATGAAGAACTGCGAGTACGACGCGAATGAGCAAAGCTTTTACCCGTCGTTTGGGATTTTGCAAAGGCAGGCAGCCCATCGCCATAAAAGCATTTATTTGACGTGATGGTTCCACGCCAAAGTTGTACAGCCATTCAACGACGGTCATCATTGGGGTGGTCGTCGCGCCCAAGCCATGGCCGGGACGACCACGACGCGAGGGGGGGGGGGGGGGGGGCTCAATGCACAATGGACAATTGCACAATCAAACTAGTGGAGACGGGGACACTGCGGTCTCGGGCACCGCACCCATGCCGCTGCCACAAAGCACAATGTGCTGCCACGAAGCACCACTAGCGATTTCGCGCGGAGGGCGTAGTGAAGCGCTGGGGCGCTCACTGTGTGTTATTCGGGTGAGGGGATCCATCAGTGGTAACCGTGTGTATCGCGCGCCTTGCGGGGGGGGGGGCGAGGAAAAGAGGAACCTCTTAGCGCCATCGCCACGGTGCTGCTAGCAGCGCCGGCGGGCCCGCCGGGCGACAACCGGCTTTAGTCACAGATCCAAGCTACTCAGTCTCAGACGCCACACCAACACCACAAACATGCTCACTTCGCCGCTGCTGTGGATGGGCCCCCGGGGGCCCATACTACGTCGAAGTACGGACCTGATCTCGGCACTCAGACACGGGCTGCCACGCGCCCGCGCGCGGCGCGGGCCGCACCGCCCATGCCCCCGGGTCACCGACCCCGCCTCTCGGCCCTCTCGGCCCTCAGGAGCGTGCGGGAGACCGGCGAGGGGCACACCTGGCGGCGCGGCTCTCGGGGCCGTCTCTACGGCGCTCGACGCCGTGTGAGGTCGCCGGCGGCCGCACCTCTGCCGCCGTCGCTCAGCCGGCTCTATTACTAACCGAGTATCGGGCGTTGAGGGCGGCGGCGCAAAGCGGGTCTGGTGCGCCACACGGCCACAACCCTTGCCGCCGCCCTTGCCGCCGCCCTTGCCACCCTTTGCCGCGCCTTGCCTCCGCCGCGGGCGGCGGTGGGAGCGGCCTGCTCGAGGCCTGCTGTGGGCTAGCATGCTGTCCGTAGCTGTGGACGGGCACGTGGAACGTCAATATGACGATCGGCCGTCGATCCCGAAGGGTCGTCGGTTGAGCTAGGGAGCCTGGCGATGGACGCCACCGCGACCTCTCGTGGCATCTCTCTCGCCGTCGGCAAGCTAGGGGCTCGCGGACGGCCGATTAATAAACAGTGTACAAACAGCCGTGAGAATTAGTTCAACTGTGAACGGGGACATGTGCGGGACGTGTCTGCCTTCTGCTCTCATTGTCTGCCCTTGCGAGAGACGCCCGCAACCCACGGCTCTTGTTTGCAAGATCGAAGGACCGAGAGCCGTCGGTCTCAGGCGCCGTCCAGCGCTGCCAGAGCCGCAGCATGACTTGCGCGGTGTGTTTGGGCTGGGCGCCAAGATCGAGCCTCGTGGCGCCGGCTTCGTACACGCCGGCCGTGACGAGTGCGGCTGAGCGGCCGACGAGAAGGCTCCGGCTATCATCGAAAAGGTGAGCCGGAGGGAGACGTCCCTCGAGAGGGACGCAGCTCGGACGATGCTCGCCGAGCTGTGCCAGGGCTGGTGGATTAACATTAACACACCTCAGGGGCAGCTCTGACTACAGATCGTGCCAACACTTGGCGCAGAGGTCGGTGTTAACACAGTTGAACGGCAGTCCCAAAACAAGCGTTAACACAGCCGTTAACACGGTGTTGACACACGCTCCGGGTAAAACCCGGGTATACCTGCAAAAAACCGGGTATACCCGAGAAATACCTGGGTCCGCGTCAATGCCGCGCGCGCCCTACTCCCAGGGCCACTGCGCCAACTGCAGCGCGCACCGTCTGCTCAAGTACGCGCACCGCACCATGTGCTGCCGCTACAAGTGCCAGAAAGCGGCTGCGGCGCAGCGGCAGGCGCGGCTGGCAGGTGGCGGTGCGGACGATGCGGTCGTGCCGACATTCTGCTTCAAGATTGATGCGGTGCTCGGCATGCGCTTCTGCGAGCCCGAGCAACTCATCGCAAAGAAGCGGCGCAACAGGCTGGCGGCTCTCGCGAGGCACCTTCAAAGAGGACAGCAATGACGCTGGATTCATCGACACGCGCTGGGTGGAGCTCGAGGAGCTGTACGAGAACTGTGGCAAGACGCCGCTGAAGAATGCGCTCAAGAGTACCGAAAGGCGGAAGAGGAGGATGTGGATGCAGCGATTGCCGACTTTGAGGAGGGCGTCGAGCACGAGGGATAATAATGAATGGGACATGTTCGCAATCGCAGCTGCGGGTGTGAAGTGAATATGCTAGACGGCGGGTCAACACCTCCCGAGGGGCGGTGTTAACACGTTTTAACACCTCTACGGCTGTGGTGTTAACCGTTAACGTGTCAACACCGTGTTAACGTTAATCCACCAGCCCTGAGCTGTGCACCGAGGCTTCCTTGCAACGCGCCTCATGTCGGACAACGATGTCGGAGAGCGACCGTGCCTCGTTCGCCGCTTATCATGCAGAGTTTGTTGTAGAGATTTCACGTTGTAGAGCGCCTCTACATCGCTCTACAACGCAGGCGCTTCGTCCCGCGGCGGATTGTGTCTGACCCTCCTGGGTAGTAAGTATGATGTTGAGAGTCGACTCCAGTCGTCCCGACGTGTGAAGAGCATCGAACAATTACAAAATAAGAGAGGAGGTGTCATCGGTGAAGTTCCGATGCGTGAAGACCCTCGAGCAAATAATAAGTAAGGACGTGTTATGTCTTAAGGTCCGAGCAATTAATAAATAGGAATTCGCGGCAGTGCCCGCGCCGGTCTGGGTCTTCCGCTGCTCGCGCCGCTGCACCATCTGCCCATCTTTGCCCCCGCGTCGAGAATTGAAGATGCTCGCGACCATGGCGGAGGAGGCCTTCACCGGCGCTCCCGCGACCTCGTTAGTTCGCCCTGATGGCCGCCTCGTCGAAGGCTCCCTGCTCCTTCGCGGCCTGCTGCGCCCGCACCACCTCCATCGCGTTCACCGTCTGCGAGTTGAGCTTCGCCACCTTCGCCTTCCTCTCCCGCTCCGCCGCCGCCTCCCGGTCCTCGCTGCGGTCCGCCAGTGGTTGTCGCCGGCGTCGTCAGCCACGATCATGGCCGTGACGGCCTCGCCCGCCATATCGCATATGTCGCTTCTCGGCCTGTCGATGGCGCGTCCCAAAAGTCGCCAAAAGTGGCGGCGCGTCGCAAGTACCCGCCCGTCGTCCCTAGCGTCGTCCCGGCGCGGTCCCGCAGCTCGCGCACATCTCCCTCTTAAGACTTAACCCACAATAAAAAAATAAAACGGACATACCAAAGAAGGGGGGGGGAAGGACAGGGTCCCCACCTGCGCGAGCAGGATCTTGTAAGGACGATCACTCTTAACCCACCTCCCTCTAACATCAGAAAAGTGAATTCCAAGTCGAGGCGTCTCGACAAACAAAAAACGAGTCGACCGCCGCAAGCTGCCCAGCAGGCGCTGTTCAGACGGGCCGGCCGGTCGCCCACCTCGCGAGGATTTATCTCGGCACCCTGCGAGTAGGTATCGCGGAGCCATGGCCGACGAGCCGCCCTCACGCCTCGACCGGCTGTGGGAGCTGCGGAAGACACGGACGGCGACGACGCTGCTGAAATTCACGTCTATCTTTGGCGGCCTCTTCCTGGTCCTCGCGGGAATCATCGGCCTGACCGGCATCTTTCAGGGCCAGATCGTCTACTTCGTGGGATCGCTCTACGCGATCATCTTTGGCTGCACCGTTCTTATCGTCGAGGTGCGCGACAAGGTGCCGATGGTGAGCGCAGCGTACCAGCAGATCGACGTCTACCTCAAGTTCATGACGCTGCAGCGCGGCAAGGGGCTGTACTACCTCGGCGTCGGCCTCCTCGTCCTCTACATCGGCCCCGACGGCACCTCTTCGTGGGGACTCAACAACGTCGCCGCCTTGCTGCTCGCCATCATCGGAGTCAGCCACACGTGCGGCATTCCCCCCTCTCGAGCGCGCCCGCCGCCCCCTCGCCCCCGGCAGCCCCCCTACCCGCCGCGCCCCCGCACGCCTTTGCAGCTTCAAGCTCATCAAGGAGTCGGACCCCGTCCTCGGGCCAGGCAATGACGTGCCTCTCGCGCCGGGCGCAGACTTCTCGAGCACGCGGAGCGACTGGGGCAACATGGTCGCGGCGGCAAACAAGCCGAGGTGACGCGAGCCCCTCGAGCAGAGAGAGTTACAGAGGCGCCGCGCCGGCATCGTGAATAGCCCACAAGCCCCAAGTGGCCAAAACCCGGCGGGGCAGCATGGAACCCCACGCGCCACGCCAGCCCGTAGCTTGTAGGGCGCCTCGCCTGCCACCATGGCTGGCGCCGCATGTGTACCTGTGTAGTTGGGCCTGTCCTTCTGTGATGCGTGGTCCTCGGCCGGGCCCCAGCTTCCGACCTCCGAGCAGGAGCGAGTACAGTGGAAGAAGATTTTCGGTAAAGGAAAACGGGGAAACAACGAAACTGGCATAACAAAGTTTTCTTAAAAAGAAGAAAGAAGAAAGAAACGAAACAATACCAAGGGGCAGCTCGAAAATTTCTTGTTTGTGGTATGGTATGGTACCCTCGCAGCCCAAAGGGTGGGGGGGTATGGTCCTGACCGCCCATCCCCGGTCTCCGGGAGGCTGGGTCTGTCAGCAGGCGGGGGGTTATGGTCTCGAGGTGGGTTGTGTAGGGTACCACACCCGAAAAAATGTTGCTCGCCAGCTTCAGCCCAGGCGTCCTGCTGGGGTCGTCAGTGGCGCCGCCGCTGCCGCCCCCGCTGGTGGGCGTGCGCGCACGTGATGGACCTTGGTCAGCCATTTTGCGGCGCGCCGGCCGGGATGCTATCACCTGCGCGCTCGCGGCATCGCTGGCTACGGGCGGGCTGCGAGCAGTGCATGCAGACGTCGGCGTGCTCAGCGAGCAGGGCGTTGGAGTCGCGGCGGCGCGAGCAGTGTCCGGGTCGCCGGTGGCAGAGGAGGTGTGGGCCCTCCTGGACAAGTACTTTCTCGACCGCACCTTCAACGGCGTCGACCTGGCGGCGGAGCGACTGAGGCTGCAGCAGATGGCGCCGCTCTCCGAGACGGCAGCGCTCGACGAGAGCGAGGCTCTGGTGCGGCGGCTAGGCGATCGCTTCTCGCGTGTGCTGAAGCCGGCGCAGACCGCCAAGCTCGGCAAGTACGACGTGACTGGCGTCGGGATCAACTTGGCGCGCGAGCCGTCGCCTCTCTGCTTCACACGCACTTGGACTCCACTTGGACTCCACGCCACGGAAGGTGACGCTCTGCCCAACAGGTGATCTCCGACTCGGGGGCGATGCTCGTCGGCGCGGTGCCAAACGGCGGCTCGGCCGCCGAGCGAGCTGGTATTGCCTACGGGGACGAGGCGCCGCCGGGGAGAGAGAGGGAGGGGCGGCGAGGGTAGCGGCGGGCCGCAGGGCGGGGTGCGGGGGCGCGGAGAGGTCGGAGGTCGGAGGCCGGGCCTCCACGCCGAGCGGCGGCGGTAGGTGCTTGAGATCAACGGCAAGAGCACCAAGGGCATGAGCTCCTTCGACGCACTCGAGGCGGAGGGGGAGAGGGCGGGCGGGGCTGGGAAGTGCCGCCGTCGCCCGACGCGCGAGAGAGGGAGGGCGCTGTAGGCGATCCAGAGCGACGGGTCGGTCGCCTCGCTGGTGGTGCGCCGCCCCTCGTCGGGCGCGGAGCCGCGCGCTCTCACGCTGCAGGTGCGGGAGGGCCGCCAGCAGCCCCGCCCCCGCCCCTCCTCCCGCCCGCGCCTCTCGGCCGCCACCGCCTCCGACTTTGGCGAGCCCACCACTACAGCGCGAGTTCACCACGACCAAGAACCCGGTGAGCTACCGCCTCGTCGAGCGCGACAACGGCGCGGAGCTCGCTTGCGTGCGTGCCGGGGGGGAGGGCTAAGGTGGACCCGCCGGGACCCGCCGGCTCCGACTCGGTAGGCGCTAAGGTTGGGTACCTCAAGCTGTCCGAGTTCAACGCGCAGAGCAAGGCGCGCGTCCTCGAGGCGCTCCAGCAGCTCAACTCGCGCGGCGCGTCTAGCCTGGCGCGCGGCCACGAGCCGCCCCGCCGCCCCGCCTCCCTCTCGGCCGACCCCCGGCTCGGCCTTGCGCCGCCCCTCTGCTGTGACCTCTGCTGTGACGGCGCTGCTGTGATGGCAGGTGCTCGACATGCGCGGCAACTCGGGAGGGGTGCTCGACGGCGCCATCGGGATCGCAGGCGCCTCGCCTCGCCCTCCCCCCGCCCCCCCCCAAGCCCACGCTCCGTCCGACCTCGGCAGGCCTCTTCAGCGAGAAGCCCCTCGTGCTCTTTGTCACCGACGCGCGGCGCAAGGCAGCCGCTGCTATTTATGAGTCATGACTGATGATTACAGATTAATGATTCAGGCGGGCGGCGCGAGGCAGCCGCTCTACTCGCGCGAGTCGGGCGCCGTCGCGTCGCAGCCGCTGCAGGTGTGGGTGAATGGGCGCACCGCGAGCTCGGCCGAGGTGCTCGCGGCGGCGTTGCACGACAACTGCCGCGCCAAGGTGGTCGGCGCAAAGACGTACGGTAAGGGAATCATCCAGGGCGAGGGCCTGTTCTGGCGCGTCGCTGCCGCAGTGAGGGCGCGCAGCGCGAGGCCGCCCCTCGCGCTCTAGGCGTCTTTGGGCTCTCCGACGGCGGCGCGCTCATCGAGACGGTCGCGAGCTACGCGACGCCCGCCGGCGCAGAGATCAACGAGCGCGGGATCGCACCCGACGAGGAGCGCATCTTCCTGTCGGACGTGCTCGGCTCGTCCTTCCTCGACGCCGACATAAAGGGCGCCGCGATTGCGCAGCCAGTGTGCGGGACGCGCAGATAGACCGCACATCGTTTCCCCCCAGTCTCGCGCGTGTCAGTGGCGCGTTCTCTCCTTTTTGCTCGCGCGAACGCTCTGTCTGCGTCTCTCGCTCCGGGCTGTCCCACTAACTGAACGCAACTCTCGGCCCCGCACCGCCAGAGAGACCGAGGTCGTAAGACGCGAATAAAAATGAATGGCCATGAGGGGCCACGCGGAGCCGGAGGCGGTGGGAAGCCAAAAACACCTTTTGCGCAAAAACGGGTCCTTCGCCATGCGCGGTCCTTGCTGACCCTGCCAAACTCTCTCGCCGCCGTTCGCGGCTCAGCTTGCGTATGCGGGTGGGAGCTTCGAGGACATGCAGGTGTCCCACCCCCTCTCGCCTCGAGCGCTCTGGCCATCCCCCCGGGCCCCCCCCAAGCGCGCGGCCGCGACGCGCTGCGCACCCTCTTCCGCGCTGCGCCCGCTCTCGGCATGGCCGTCGTCCGCCGAGATCACCTCCTCTTTGCGCCGCAGGTGCACAACCAAGAGCTGGCCACCTCCGTATCCATCATGGTGAAGCCAAATGGGCCAAAAATGGAGTTTGGCGCCCCTCCCAGGTGGCCGGAGGGTACACCTCGGGTCGGCGTGCTGGGGGGGGCGCCGGTGCGCAAGCCCACTTTCCGGGCGACCCCGAGGGGTAGGAGGCCGGGCGAGTGGCGGCAACTCATTGTTAGTGTCCCGGGCCGCTGCGGTACCGTTTATACGCCCCCTCGTCATGTCTTTCCGATTGTGAGTCGTCCTCTGGCCAGCCGAGGGGCACCAGAACGGCATGTGTACTGTACTGGTGCTGGCTGCGGGCGCGAAATGGGTTTTTTTCAACTCGCAACCAACTATACTATACAAGAACACCCTCGGGGGGGACCACACTCGGCGCATATATGCAACACACGTTCTGTCGAATCTCCGATACTCGAATGAGGGGGAGAGAGCGGAAGAACACATCCACACACACTTCTTCAGAGGAGGGTGGTGTTTAGAAACACCTGTGGGGAGAGAAGGCCGGTTTAGGCGTCCTTCTTGGACTTCTTCGGCAGGAGCACCGAGTGGATGTTGGGGAGGACACCGCCCTGCGCGACGGTCACGCCGCCGAGGAACTTGTTGAGCTCCTCGTCGTTGCGCACCGCGAGGGTGATGTGCCGGGGGATGATGCGCGACTTCTTGTTGTCGCGCGCGGCGTTGCCCGCGAGCTCCAGCACCTCGGCCGCCATGTACTCAAGGACGGCGGCCAGGTAGACCGGCGCGCCCGCGCCGATGCGCGAGGCGTAGCGGCCGAGCTTGATGTGCCGGTGAACGCGGCCAACCGGGAACTGGAGGCCAGCCTTCGCCGAGCGAGACGTCGCCTTCTTCTTGGAGCCACCGCGACCGCCCTTGACCATTTTGAACAGTGTGAGTTGTGAGACTTGTGTGAACGGAGCCCCAGACGTTGCCTCCGAGAGCGCTCACCCGCAGGACAGTAACTGCAGCGGCGCGGGACTTCTCGTTCCCTGCATGGCACAGTCACAGCCAGCGTGGCTGCAGCGGCGCAGCACCCCTCCTCCGGGAACGCTACCACGCTTTAGTGGGACGGCGCCGGCGGATCTTGCAATGCGCGACAATTCTTCCGCTGCATGGCGGCGCACAGCGGAGCGAGCAGTGCAACTCAGAGGGGGGGGGGGGGCTTGTTGCATCACCGATGCAGCAGCGCTCCGCATGTCGACGTTAGATACGCCCGGGTCCTTCTTCCCAATGCGGAGCCTGCTACGAAAAAGAGAGCTATGTACGACGTACGACCACCTTCACTGCGGATGGTCTGCGATCCCGACGCACGTACGATGTAATGGACGCATCCTCTAGCCCTAATACACCCTATCCTCTAGCCCTAATGCGTACCGTACCCTCATTGGCTCTGGGCACTGAACAGGAGCTCGCAAGATGAACGAGCGGCAAGCCTCGGCGCAGCCTCAGGCTCAGCGACCGGCCCCACCCTACTGCAGGTGACCTCCGTGCGCAACGAAGATCTCCTTGGCGCTGTGATGCACTCGCAGCCGCTGCTCGCAGTGCCGGCCACCCTCGGAACATATGATCTCGTAGTGCGATGGCACCTGCACATTGCTCGGATGCACCTCGGCCTGCAGCTGCGTTCGAGGGCAGGGGAACACCCAGCGGTGCTCCCGAGAGTAGCAGCCAGACGCGCCTGGCCAACCGCCCACGTCCTTTTCTACCGGAGGCAATTTCGGCCTCTCTTCCGGCAGTGGCGCCGAGTTCGCTGCCCCGCCGAGGGATATGAGGGGCGTGCAGTGGTATGTTATGACTTGGCCCGCATCGGAGAGGCGGCTGCAGTCCACACCAATTAAGGCTGCGGAGAAGTCATTTCCTGTCGCCTTACAAACCACTTTTGCGACACTGTAGCAGCTGTCGCCGTTTTGGGTGGTGTAGCTTCCCTTGGGTGGTGGTGGCAGTGGTGCCCTGTCCTCGTCTGCAGCATGGTTGACCCATGCTCCGCCGAGGTTCTGAGTGTCGAGCTCGCTGCCGTTAGCGGCGGCAGAGACGGGAGCGGACCTCGCGATGCTGGGCAAGAGTAGGACACCCACTTTGACAACTTGTGCCTGCGGAGACATCAGGGTCGAACGCGGGGCGTCGAGGCCACAACCCGCAAGCAAAGAGGAGAGTGTCGTGAGAGCGTGTGTGCGGCTGTGGGCTAGGACTCTACCGAATCGTAGTTGCTGCAAGAGCTCCAAGATGCTGCCCAGCAGTGGTGTACTGCCCAACGGGCACCGCGTCCAACAGCGTCCAGAGAGGGGGTTCCGACCGCCCAAAACGTGCCTGCCTTAGTCTCGTTTAATCCATGGCTCCCTTGGGAGGTCCCGCAGGAGGCCAAAGGACCTGCAAGGAGCATTCCTATTCCTCGCGACTTCTCGAGATCACCCGTTGCTGGGATGTGGGAACGAATGTTGGATTCAGAAAAGAATGGGGAAAATTCATTCTCGGCTGCCGCGACAGCTCACGTTCGTTTCACAGGCCTTGTTATTGAGAAGAAAATACCTGCTTTTCACAGACCTTTTACCTTGATATTGAGAAGAAGCTACCTCCTACTATGACCTTTGACGCTGCGCGCTTCACACGGGCGAGGGTGGGAGGAGAGATGCATGGAGACTCAGACTGACTGAGCTCTCGGAGGGCGCAGTCGCAGTACAGCTAAGGGGGCTGCGTGGACATAGCACATACGCAGTGTTTGTTTGTTCGCGTGCTTGCGCTTCCGCTAAGGCCCTGAGGGAGGGTGTAGAGGATGTAGAGTGTAGAGCACTGTAGTAGAGCTGTAGAGATGTAGAGCGCTGGAGAGCGCTGTGAGCTGTAGATAGAGCTCTACATCCGGCGCGGGACGATGTGAGTCCGATGTAGAGCGATGTAGAGCGCGATTTTGCTGTAGAGTTTGTTGTAGAGGCGCTACAGCCAAACCGCCGGGAAGGCAGTGACTCAAAGAGGTCGAGCCGCGCCAATGGGGTGTCTCCGAGCTTACTGGAGCTCTGGTGGACGGCCCTGACTATCCCTGACACACAGAGAGTCACTCTGACGGCACACAACACCCTATAACTGCGTCATGACCAGCCTGCCATGCGTCGCCGGTGCCGCATTCGTCGCTGTGCTTCTTTAGCAGGCGGTAGACTGCCGGCTGCGAGGACGGTCGCATTTGCGCAAGGCGAGGCGAGCATTCAGACGCGTTGCATGCGCCATGACTCGCGCCAGCGCGTGCGGGAGCTCCTGGCTGAGCGTTGAGTCCAGGCGAGTTGCGCTGGCCACTATCGCTACGCCGAGCCGAGCTGACGCGCCGAGGCGCCGGCCAGTCGCAGCCGTGAGGCATGCCACAGATGCAGAGGCACCTGCCACCCATTGGGCGGGCAGACAGAAGGCCAGGGCAGCACTGGCAAGTGCAACGCGCCTCATGTGGAGAGCGACCGTGCCTCGTTCGCCGCTTATGATGTAGAGTTTGTTGTGATCTGTGATCTGTGAGGGTCCGCCCGCAGGCGCATTTTGTATACCGAGGCGGTGCCCGGTGCCGAACCTGTCGGACCTTAAGACAGCATTGTAGATCCCAGGGCGAGGGTGGTGGCGTCCCCGTCGGGAGGGGCTGTCTGGGGGGGTGCCCTCCCACCGTCACCTCACCAGCGTCCCGGTGAGTACGGCGATCAGAGCTCCCCCGGTCGTCGCGCTAAACCGTAACCCGCCGGGGCGGGCCGGATCCACGCGTTGCCAGACTGCCCCGTTGGAGGTAGGCCGCTCGTCTAGCCAATCAGCCTTAAGCGAGCGGCCTGGCCGTTGGAATGGCCGGGTGGAGAGAGGGGCGGAGTCGGCTCGGAAGCGCGACTGCAGCCACGGGGACTGCCCGCCCACTCTCGTCGGGTTGAGGGGAGGACGACTGTCTCCGCAGGACCTCTGTTACGAGCCGCCCTCCCCTCGAGACGCGAGGCCAGTGCACTTGGGGCCAAGCCCCAGCGTACACCGTCCCACGCGCCTCACGCGGCCTCTGGCTGGAGCGGGATCGCAAGCGAGTCCCCTAGGCCTCCCTCTCCCTCTTACTTCCAACCGCCAGCACACCGCCAGACGGGCCAGCCTCCTCCTCCGCGGCCAGGGGCCTGCGCAGCCGCCCACGCCGTCTGCTGCGCAAGCACAGCCGAGTGGCGTGCGGGGTGTGCACGTCTAGATCTCGCACAGCCACGCGGCGGTAGACAATCAGCACGGCCACGTTCGCCAGGGCAAACGGCGAGAGGCAGGGTGTACTCGCTGATGATGCTAGCGACGAGGAGCCGATGGTACCACGGTGTGAAAAGCTGCGGCCGAGAAGTGGGAGGCCGTCAGTGGTGGTGTGAGTGAGACGTGCTCCTTGCGCCGGCTCAACGCGCCTCTCTTCGTTAGCGTCAACGTCGACGCGGGAGCCTGGCTGGATGTCGGTGCAGTGCGCATGTCAGGTATGTGTTGTCAGCGCGCGGGTATGGCGTGGGTGCCGTGAGGGTGGGCATGCGCGTGCGACATCAATCACCAGCAGCGTAGCTGCGGGGGAGCGGGCAGGATGCACCATGCGCCACGAGCCACGAGGCAGCTGCGCTTTGACGCTACAGAATGGGAGACTCCGACAATTGCCCAAATTGCCGTTTACTATTCCGCGTTGCGGAATATGCGGAAAGTGCGGAAAACAATGTGCGTGGGGAGGGCGTTACAATCCTGCTTCTTTCTTTCTTGGGCTTTAAAATACCCCGTCAGCAGAGTCCTCCTACGTATCTGAAAGTAGCACATAACACTGAATGAAAATGTCCATCTGTGGCGAGGGTATCGACTACCTTCCTTGCCCTCTACCTCTGGGATGGGAAGGAGTGAGCCTACCAGGTGGCCTTGAAACAACGGTTTCCGCACCGCCTCACGCATCTGCTGATGCGGCCCAAGCTTGCCGCGTTAGCACTGCATCCGGCGCGGCCGCGGGCACCTAACGCGCTTCATTGCTGCCCGGTACGACTGTACTGATCTGGCTTGCGCACCAGTGCTGGCAGGCTCACACCATAGTGCTCCCTTGCCTGCTGGTGTAGGCAACAATACCCTTGCTGGCAAGCTTCACCTCGCGAGCTGCCTCGATGGGGTGCCGAGGCATAGAGATTAGAGTCTCGCCTACACTGCGGCACAGACACCTGATGAGGACAGCATGATACCACATGAATCTGCCCAGTTGCAGCAAATTCTACTGAACAGTTGAGGGCTGGCGAGAGAGAGACCGTTAAGGAGCGCGAAACGCGCGAGGAAGCCGCGGGCTGCGGGCTCATATACAAGAAGAAAAAGTTGAAAACGAGACTCCTTGTTATCCATAAAAGAGCCACATACATGATATGTCAACCGGCGCACATGCGACGAGAGCGGGCGCCGTTTTTCATTGCCTATTCTAACGAGACACAGAGCAGCGGCACGGGCGTTGCCGATCGAACACGGATTGCTGAGGGCCATGCACAATTCGTGCGGTTATGGGCTGCCACCGCAAAACATGCAAACGACAGGCCACGCCACGTGCGCCACCATATCCAGCTGCGCAGCGGCAACGACTGCCGAGGCGCAGGCCGAGCCGCAGCCTACCCGATGCCCCGCCGACATGCGGCATTGGCCAAAATGCTGGGCATCTCAGGTTAAGGAAGGCAACTTGAAATAGCAAGGAGCATCCTAGAATGCAAAGGGGTAACTCCAGATGCTAGCGCATTCACGAATGCAGTTCGCATTCCAGGATGGTCGACGCATCCTGGAATGCGTGGACCATCTTTGGAATGCGGTGTGCATCTTGAAATGCGAAAAGTCAACTCGGCATTCTGAATTGAAAAATGCAATCTAAATTGATTTTTTGCAACTCAAAATGCCCTCAGCATCTCAAATTGCGGGTTCCCCGCCCCTGACGTATCTTCCGTCCGTCCAGAGATACACGGAGGAGTGTAACTCTTCTCTGATCTCTCATGACACGAATCCGGGAACCTCTCCGGCTCCGCCAAAGAGCAAACGCCGTTTCCAAACGCGCAAGGGGGGGGGGGGGGGGGCGTGCCGGTCCACTTCCTTGACCCCACGCCAGAGAGAAAAACCACATCGTGAGAAAAACAACGGTGCCGGAGTAGTTTCTCTCTCTAGACCTGCTGCACAGACGGCCGGCCACACAGTATACTCACCGACCGACCCGGTCGCGACTCTGGTCACCGTCTCGCTCCCTCCGCGTCACACCACCGCGACGCTCCGCTCCACTCAGTACTCTCGACTACTCGCTCGCACTCACACACTCTCACACACAACCGCCTCCTCCCCCCACCGCTCGCCCCCTCGCCCGCTCGCTCCCTCCGCCGCGTCACCGGAGAGGCCACTCGAAGGAGGCAGTTTTGCCCCGGTCCCGCACCGTCATCTCCTCCCACTCGTGATTGAAGAAGCCGTTGAGCGCCTCGAAGGAGAAGGGCGCGACGGGCGGCGCGGGCGGGTAGGGCGGCGCGTGGTGGGGCACCACCGAGACGGCGGGCTGGTCGTAGCTGATGGTGGTGAAGAAGTCGCCGCTGCCGATTTTGAGCTCGGAGCGTGCGACGACGGTGACGGTGCCGTGCTGCCGCATCTCGGTCTGCATCTGGTTGATTGTGGCGAGCGAGCCTGCGTGGGTCGGGCGGCGGGGGTCGGGCGGAGGAGGAGGAGGAGGAGAAGGAAGAGGAGGGGGAGGAGGGGGAGGGGGAGGAGAAGGAAGAGGAGGAGAGGAGGGGGAGAAGGAGGAGGAGGGGGAGGGGCAGGCTGCAGGGAGATGCTGCAGGGAGAGAGGGCGCGGGGGTAGAGGGTGCGGGGAGAGAGTGTGGTGGGAGAGGGCGCGCCCTCGACGATGCACGGGTACGGCCTGCCAGTGACAAGCTGCTGGCGCGGGCTGACGACGATCGGGGCGAGGGCGGGCCCGTCGAGGCGTGCGTCGTACTCTGGGTCGGAGGCGTCGAGCACGAGCTGCATCCGCCCGACCCGCCTGCGCCGCAAGGGGCTGGCTGGTGGGCACCGGGGCCAGGAGGGCGGGCGGGCGGGAGGGAGGGAGGGGCGCGGCGCACTGGTCGTTGTAAAAGATGTGCGAGTCGATCCGCATGACGGCGAAGGAGGCGGCGAGCGGGTTCGAGATGGCGAGGTACGCGTCGAGGACGAGGGGGCGCCCGTCCAGCGGATTCGCCTGTGGTGGGACCGCGCGCCCAAGTCGGGAGGCGGGCGGGGGAGCGGGCCAGGCGGGGGGCGGTCCCGACTCGGGCGCTGCTGCGGGGCCCAGGCGGCGACGCCGACTGCCTCTCGGCCGCCTCTCGGCCGCCTCTCGGCCGCCTCTCGGCCGCCTCTCGGCCGCCTCTCGGCCGCCTCTCGGCTCTCTCTGTGGGCGCCCAGTCCACGAGGCGGCGCGAGTCGACGACGACCTCGACGCGGTCGAGGAGAGGCGCCTGCGCGGGAGGAGGGGCGGCGTCGAGCGGCGGGAAGTCCCCCCCCCCCCCCCCTCCTCGCCACCCAGAGCTCCCCCCCGCCTCCCCCGCCTCCTCCTCCCCACAGCGCTCGCCTGCAGGCCCGGCAGCGTCGTGTGCAGCCGCATCCCCGCAAAGAGCGAGTCGTACAGCGGCGTGGAGACGCTCTCGACGACGCCGTAGAGGTGGCTCGGCCGCCCGGAGAGGTGGTCCGACAGCAGCCGCGACGCGGCCTCCAGGCCCGCCTCCTTCTCCGCCACCAGCACGCCTCGCAGCCGCTGCACCGATGCGCCGCTCGGCAGCAGGAGCGGCGCAGACGCGTTCGAGGAGAGGCGGCCGACCAGAGCCCCGTCCGGGGTGTGGACGGAGAGGTTGAGGGCACCGAGCGGGCGGAGCGCAAAGGAGGACGGGTTGCGCACCTCCGCCGTCAGAGAGATGACGTTCGGCAGCCGCGTACCGGGGAAGCGCTCTCTTCCTCCTCCCGGGTCGGCGTCCGAGATATCCACACTGAGGATGTGGTTGGGGAAGGACTGGGCGCCTGGGGCGCGAGGGGAGGAGGGAGCGCGCGCGTGAGGGCGCGGCGCACCCCGCTGCCGCGACGGGTATGCGGCGCGCGCGCCTCGCAGCGGCAGCCACTTGCGCAGCGTCACGGGCAGAGAGAGCATCGAGCCGAACCGGAGTAGCAGCGGCGCCTCGAGTCGCAACGACACCTCCTCGGAGGCCTGCGCCTCGGCGGCGAATTCGCGCAGCGCCTGCAGGCTCGTCACGCGCATCTCGCCGCCGAGCGTGAGCGCGACGTCGCCGCCGTACCCAAAGTCGACCGCGGGTACCGTGAGCGTGCCGAGCGACGTGCCGCCGGCCGAGCGGGACGCGCGGGCGGTGGTGCCGTCCGCGGTGACGCGCATCGGCAAGGACGGCACCCGCGCCGTCACAGCGCACACCACCTGCGCCGAGTCGGCGGCAGGATCGCTCACCTCGCACAGGCCCACTGTTAGCTCGGAGCTGTCGACGATCAGCTGCGCGGTGACCGGCGCGCTGACGAGCAGGAGAACAGGCAGCAGCAGCAGCAGCAGCAGCAGCGCGTACGCGTACTTTCGCAGCGGAAATCGCTGGCGACCGCTCAGCAGTGAGACGTCGTCCGCCTCGCCAGGCAGGGTCTGCATATATATGTTGCGTCAAGGGCGAAGTGCCCGCCAGCGTACGAATGAAAAGAATTCAGCTTTCTGTAGCCGTCGGAAACTTCCTCGCACGACACTCCGTTCTCCCATCCCTCCCTTGGGTTGTGTGTTTTCTTTCTTTCTTGTGTGTTTTCTTTCTTTCTTTCTTCCTCGCACGACACTAGGCACAGGACTGGCGCGCACTGGCACTAACATGAAAAGAATCGTTGGTTGGCTGGCCCGCTGGGTGTGCTTCTTAGCCCCCTGGCCCTGGATGTGAGGCTGATGACTGCACTCCAAGTGCTCCAAGTGCGCTTGGTCTCCGACTCAAAAGACGGCGTGCTGTTGCACATGCATGTATTGTGTCCCCGCCCTGCACGATCTTGGTGTGAGGGATCTTCAATCCGTGTCCCCTCTCCCCTCGACACTGGACAGGTAATGAAAAGAATTAGCCGCCGTATACCACATCGTCTCAAAATCTGAGGCGTGCTGTCTGCTGCTCTCTCCGCTCTCTCCTCACTCCTCCACCACCTGCAACCTCTCGAGCTCCACCTCCTCCTCCTCCTCCTCGCCCGCCGCCGGCCAAGTGCACCCCTCTGCACATCCCTCCACACACCACCACCCCGGCTGGCCACCGGCGTCAGCGCGGCATCCTCCGAGCTGACGCTGCAGCAAAACTGCGACTCTGGCACGCCGCCTCCGCCTCCGCCTCCGCCTCCGCCTCCGCCTCCGCCGCCGCCACCGCCACCGCCGCCTCCGGCTGCTCCGCCCTCCCCGGCGCCGCCCTCCCAAGACGGCTCCTGCAGGCGCGGCTGCGCGCACAGCGGCGCGCCGGCGCGCGGCGCGCCGCACAGCAACACTCGCAGCGGCACGCGCAGCCTGCAAGTGCGTGGGGAGCGGGGTGAGGCGCTGCAAGTGCGGCGGTGTCGGCGCGGCGCGGACGGCGAGCCTGCAGATCGGGCCGCGCCGCCAGCCGGAGGACGGCTCCGACGGCGGGCGCATCCAGCGTCCCGACCACGTCGAAGGCGAGCCGCGCGCCGGGCTCCACGGCGTGGCCGGCGAGCACGACGTGCGGCGGCGACGAGAAGAAGCACCGCCGCCCGGGCGCGTCCTGCTGCCGCTCGTCCGGCAAGGCGGTGGCCTCGGCCTGCGGCGGCGTGGAGGGCGGCGGCGGCGGCGACGCGAGCGAGAAGTGGCCGCAGAGCTGGGCGCTCATCCAGTCCACCCACCGCTCGGCGGAGGAGGCGCTGCCGATGAGGGTGAGGCGGCACCGGACCGTGCCGCCCGCGGCGTAGGCCCACGCGTCGGGCGCGGCGGCGAGCACATCAAAGAGGGCCATCGGCCGACGCCGCGGAGCCCGAGTGCGAGTGCCTCGGCTGGCAGCGGAGCGGCGGCAGCGCGCGGGGAAGAGCGAGCTTTCTCTTAAAGGGGCTCTGAGTGTGCAGGGAGCGCGAAGGAGTAAACCATCGCTGTGCACGCAAAAAAGAATTTGAGAACGCCACCTCAAAGCAAAAAAGGAAACTGAAACTTGAGGGTGGTGTTTAGAAACACCGGGTCAGAGTGTGGGTGCCGATTTTAGGCGTTGGACGTGTACTTGGTGACGGCCTTGGTGCCCTCCGAGACGGCGTGCTTGGCGAGCTCGCCGGGGAGGATGAGGCGGACGGCGGTCTGGATCTCGCGCGACGAGAGGGTGCCCTTCTTGTTGTAGCGCACGAGCTTGCCCGCCTCGACGGCGATGCGCTCGAACGCGTCGTTGATGAACGAGTTCATGATGGACATGGCCTTGGAGGAGATGCCGGTGTCCGGGTGCACCTGCTTGAGCACCTTGTAGATGTAGGACGAGTACGACTCGACGCGCTTCTTCTTGCGCTTCTTCTCGCCGCCGCCGGACGGCTTCTTGGCGGACTTCTTGGCGGGCGTCTTCTTGGCGGGCGGCATGGCTGAGCTGGGTCGAGGGATGATGTTGGAATTGATTTTGGGAGGGCTCCTTGCCTCGAAGGGTGGCTCACCCGCAACGGCCCGCGCCGCTGCAGCCGGGCTCACTTTTCGGCGCCCGGCGCCCACCTCGCGCCGGAGCGGGCGGGAGGCGGGCGAGAGGCGGCCCTCGTCCTCCTCGCCCGCCGCGCGGCCCCTCTCCGCCGCGGGTCGACATCGAGAGAGCCGGCAGGGCCCGGCAGCGCAGAGACGGCTTTTCGAGAGACCTTCGCGGCGCTCGATCCGGGAGCGAGGCGCAACAGGGCGACGCAAATCTAGTCGCGCGCGTGTGCTGCCTGTGTCTGCGCTGCAGTCGCAGCGATATCACAGGCCCATTGAACAGGAGAGGATCGCGCGAAGGAGAGCGCTAACTGCCCTCTCCTCCGCATTTTTGAAGCAAGTCTTGTCTTGTGAGTTTTGCACAACGCCAGCCTCAAAGACGTGAGATGACTCTCGCGTCAAGTCGCACACGCGCGCTCTCACCCACCAAATTTCCTCCTGCTCTCGCCTGTCCGCCGCCCACACCGCCGCACGCCGCACGCCCAGCAGAGGCGAGAGGGAACAGCCGCGCTCTCCAGGCCCGCGACTTGGCGCGCCCAAAATTCTAGTCCTCTAAACAGAGCAGAGAGAGTGGCGTGTGGTACCTTCGTACATAAATATCCAACACGTGTGGTGACGAGAGGCCACCAACGCCGTCACACGTTGACGGACAGCTCCGAGAGCACCTGGTTGAGAATCATCGGCACGTCCGGCTGCAGCTGGCTGTGCATCGACCCCAGCTGCGCGAGGGTCGGCTCGTAGGCCCGAAAGTACTGCCGGTGGCCGTGGACCGACGCGAGGTGCTGCAGGATCGAGGCGGAGCGCCGCACGGCGGGCGGTGGCTGCGTGCCCGCCCCGGCGATGACTCCGACGAGCCGTGGCAGGACGAGCGGGCTGCTGGCGAGGAGCCGCTTGAGGGTGAGGTCGGCGGAGGAGGCGAAGAGGAGGAGGAGCTCGAGCGCGGCGTCCTGCGCGAGCGCCGCCGCCACCTCGGACCCGTGGGGCGCGTTGGGCGGGACGGCGCCGCTCGCCGCCTCCGCGAGCGGCGCGAGGGAGGAGGGGTGCGCTCTGGCGAGGGAGGAGAGGAGGTGCTCGTTGGGCTCGTGGGCGGCGAGGCGGGCGAGCGCCTCCACGGCGGGGTGGGCGAGGCCGGGCTCGCCTGCGGGCGAGGTGTGTGTGTGTGCGGGACGGGAGGCGGGTGTGGCGAGGAAGGAGGGGCTGGCTGGCGGGCGGAGGAGGGGCGCGGGCGGAGAGCGGGCGCGTGGAAGCGGGGCGCGAGTGGCGTGTGTTCGGCGCGGATCGGTGCGGGTCTGTGTGCGGTCTGGTGACGAGGCGTCTGGTGGCACGACGTGTGGCGGCGTGGCGTCTGGTGTCGGCGCTGCGCGTGTGTGTTCGCCGGAGAGGAGCAGACAGAGCAGCAGCGCAAGGAGGTCCTCGAGGGAGGAGGGGAGGCCGGCCCGGACGGGGACGCCGTCGCAGAAGGAGTCGAGCTTGCAGTGCTTGAGCCCCAGGTGCAGCAGCTCCGCCGCGCACGCGCACGCCTCCGCCACGTACCTCCGCGACAGCAGCGGCGGCAGCGCAGGCCCGCCCTCCGCACCGGGCGAGGAGAGGGAGGCGGGCAGCACGGGGCGGGGGGCGCCGCTGGGCCGCTCGGTCGCCTCCGCCTTGTCGTGGCGGGAGATGCGGCACGGCCCGCCCCGGCCGCCGTGCCGGTACCCGCGCGTGCACAGTGGGTTGACTTGGCACTGGCCGCCCGCGGCCTCCTCGGCCGTCCCGCGCGCGGCAGTGTCGGCCGCCTCCAAGTCGATGTCCTCGAGGCGCAGCGGCTCGTCGGCGTCGTGCGCCTGCAGCGCCGACTGCAGCTGCCACAGCACGAGCCGCCGGAGAGCGAGCGAGTGCGCCTGCGCGACGGGGGAGGGCGGGCAGGGGTGGGTGGGGCGAGTCGAGAGCCGCGTGAGCGGGTGCACGGCGGCGGCAGGTCGGGGGAGGGCGGGTCGCGCGCGCCATCGGCTGCTCGTTCTCCGGCAGCAGCGCCATGTTGCGCAGCAGCAGCCACGCCTGCCGGTGGTGCAGCATCGCGAGCTCCCGCGCGCTGCCCTCGCCGGGCATCGCCTCGCCGTCGGCGGGCGGGATGGCGAGCGGCAGCAGCGCCCGCAGCAGCGGCGGATTGCGCTGCACCGAGACGAGCGAGTCGAGGCGGAAGGTCGTGCCGATCGGGCCCGCCGAGTGCGGGTCGACGGTGTCGCACGACGCGACGAGGAGCGCGTTCAGCGCCCACGACACCTCTGACGGGAGGCCCGACTCGAGGGAGAGCAAGAAGCGGCGGAAGCCGTAGACCTGCACCGCCCTCGCAACCTCGTTCTGCGCGTCGCGCACGCGCCGCACGCCCCGAGGCATATGCACAACCGTGTGTGTATAGAGAGGGAGTGTATTCTGTGTGCCAAAAAAAAAGAAAAAAAAACCGTCTGCGCCGCCGCCACCACACAGGGATTTTAATCGATCCGCCGGTGGTTGTTTTTGTTTTCTTCTTTACAACAAAATGCGGGGCGTCTGTTGGTCTGTTCTAGTGCTGGAACCCTCTCATCAAGTCGACGACGTTGCTCGTTGGGGAGGGGCTCGTGGGGCAATGGTGGCAATGTGGCGTCGGTGGGCCACCTCTACGGGTTTGGAAACACGCTGGACAAGGCGTTGACGGGAGTCGTGGGGTGCAAGGAGCGTGGCCGTCAGGTGGACGGACCGCTCGACCACTCGACTGGAAAGGGATGGGTCAAAGACCACGCGTATGGAAAGGGGTGGGTCAAGACGGATACGGGCTGGAAGTGGATGGGGGCGCAGTACTACGAGACGCGAAGTGGGTCAAGAAAGCCATAACGCGGCTGGTGCTCGTGGAAACTTTGGGAGGCATTGCGCCGCCCACCAAGCAGTTCCTCCACGTGTTCGCCAAGGAGGCGGCGGGCACCAACACGGACCGGACGGTGTACGGGGCGGCGTCGGCGAGCGCCT